GACCATGAATTTAAATTATGGATTAAATTGGTTTTATGAATTCCAGTTTCATCAATATCTTTGTTCCTGTAATAAATTATTAAGTTGATAATTTTGAAAGTCAGATAAAACGCAACGTGGAAAAAATTATATGTAGTTTTAACTAGCTAATACTACTTTAATAAAGTGAGTAAGAGGTTACGAGAAAGGGTTTCAAAGAATGTTACTTTGTCTCATACATTTAGTGTATTTAAATATCAAGTCAAGTGGTGATTTATTTATTCAGGACATGACACACTAGAATAATGTGGACAGATTCGAGCATTATGATTGGTTCTTGGTAGAAAATTGAAGTATTAGAGAGTTCAAGAAATGTACCGAAAAACAACTCTCAAAAGAGTTTATACTTGTTAAAACATTCTTTGTTTAGCGCTTTTCACTTAGATTTCTTCAGATTCTACAGTTCCGTTTTCAAGTTATTGCATTTTTCTTATCGGGTTTGACCACGGATTGATATCAGTTAGGGAACCATTGAAAATCAGCGAGTACTGGACAGCTGTTTCATCCCACTAGTTTGGGAATCATCGGCAGTACACACCCACTGGTCTTCGAACCCAGGACCTTCCAATCACAAGACGAGCTCGTATACCATTCAGCCACTGGGACCCTATCCAGGATGGAGTTTCCTGGAGTTCTAGTAAGAATTCGTGACCAGTGAGGTCCATCCAGTCAGGTGTGAGGATGGATTTCCCTCCAATGACAATGGTTCACAGTCGCGCTAAAATCACAAATTGGTAGAAATTAGAATGCATAGGCTTGTCACTGGATCGGGCCCCAGTGGCTGAATGGTATACGAGCTTGCCTTGAAACCGGAAGGTCCTAAGCTCGAACCCTAGCGGTCGTTGCGTACTGATGATGATTCCCGAACTAGGATGAAACAGCTGTCCAGTACCCCCGGGTTTTCCAATGGCTCTCTAACTGATATCAATCCGTGGGCAAACTCGAAAATAAACAAATCTAATCCTTACAAACCAGCGCTTGAAAATATTGTATTTTCTTCCTATTGAGTTCAACATCGGTTTCAGATGCGTAGGGGACTATAAATCTCTTCAAGTTTTCAAGTACACATTAATAGTGGATATGTTTGAACAGTCAGTTGGCCTCGGTTAAAACTCTGCGTTATTAAGCAATAAAAAAATATGAGTGATCTACACTACTAACTTAACCCACCTTTACCGAAGCGCAGTCATGGTATACGAATAGACTTCACTTATATATATATATATATATATATATATATATATATATACAATATGTGTATATATATACTGTATTGTATTGTATATCCACTGTATGGCTATTCACTATGGAAATAATATTCATATCCAAAGGAATAAGGACCTTTTGACTTAGTGAATTGAAAATAAAAATCTAGTATGAGACGAATACACGTCGGTGGCACAGTGGTAGAATCCTCGCCGACCACACATGTGGTTCAAGGTTCGGTCACCTGTCGACACACTCCTTTACCTCGCTAAGCCAGTGGTATGATTGATAAAGAGGGGAGGTTGAGCTTGAGGCTAGCAACTCCATCCCGTAAAAATAAACACCACTGCTAAAGAAACACCAAGCCTCTAACTTGAAACCCTGTGTTCCACTGAGAACTTAAAGGAGTTAAAAAAATGAAACGAACAAGGAAAAGGAAGTCAGGAGGAAGAAAACAAGTGTTCTAATGACCAATGTTTTTCTTATGTAAACTGTAAGTTAGATAAGTAAACATTGACATTCAGTAGAAACATTTTTTTAACCGATGTTTATATTTAAAAAAAACATGTTTATGAACATGAAAATAGTTTTCTTAACATCATGGATTAAACAACTTTATAAAAGCGAATTCCGCTAATATCATATAAGTCCGTTGAATAAAACATCAGAATAGAACATACAACATAGTAATACATTTTCAAGTATTAGTTTTTGAGGATTTGATTGGTCTCACGTTCGATTACGGATTGATATCAGTTAGAGAACCATCGAAAATGAAGGGCTACTGGACAATGCTGTTTCATACCAGTTTGGGACACTTGATAAAAGTCAGAAGTCATAGGCCATTAGATTCCGTCCCATTGGCTGATAAGCTCGTCTGGTAACCTGTAGGTCCCGCATTAGATCTCCGATGGGTGCAGACCGTTGGAAACTCTCAAGCTAGGGCTAAACAGCTGTCCAACACTCTGTGGTTTCCAACGGTTCTCTGACTGATCTCAATCCTTGATAAAACTTGAAACAATATTATGCATTTAAGTAGTTGGCGAGAATTTAATGTCGACAGAATCGACAGACAGTATCAGCCTCTAAAATATGATTTGCAAAACTTACATATTTGACAATAATGAGTTCCATTGTATTTTTTTTGCAAAGGTGGATTGATATGTTGTTAGGTCTTATAGATAGGAGAATGTTGGCTTATCAGATTTCATAAGCACGATTATACCCTTTTCAAGTCAGAATTATGCTAAGATAAGCTGTTTAATGTTTGAAATACGGCTTTTTATAGGAGTTTATGTTAGTCTAAAACAGTTATGAATTAAACAGTATTGTAAACTTCTACCATGACTTGTTTTGCAATAAGCGAACAAATAATCCGGTAGTAAAGTTTGCGTCTTCAACATTGAATGACGCTGGTTCGAATCCTTGACAGAATATAAATTACTGCTAATTTACAGAAATAATTTGCCGATGAATGCAGAGATGTACAAAATCTAAATCAAGAGTGATTGGTTTTTGTTTGATTTACATATATCAACTCAAAATTAAGCGTCGACGATTGAATGGTAGAATGCTTACTAGCTGCGCGGGACATCCGAGTTCGATTTCCAGTCGACGAATTCCTATACTTCATCTAACTTGTAGTAAGCCAGGAAAAGATGGGAGTTTGGATGTGAGGTTAGCAACCTCATTGCACACCATCGCTTCCGAAACTCTGAATTCTTGTGTTCCATTTGAAACGAAAAAAATCAGCAGACCTCAAGATTAAACCAAAATAATGGTAGTATAGATTTTTAAAAAGTTATACCCAAATAGAAGTCCACATGGATGACCATATGTTTCATTCATCAATCATTGATTGAATTCAACATATATCAATCATTTCTGATAATATCAAATATGTGGTGTTTCAGAAGTCTCAACACCGAATACACCAACACTTTTTCCAGGTTTCCATTCTTATTAAGTTTGCCTGTTGTTCTAGGTTAGTCAATTAAAAAGTTAGCAAAAGTTTTTCGCAAAGTACTTTTATAACTGACAGAGCCTTTCTAAATCCCGCAGTATGTATGGAAAGGTACAGATGTTTTAAGAAGTTGAGACCTAACCTCTTTAGGGGTTTGAGGACTTGTTTCAAGCTAGATATGAGCAAAGCAACTCTACTATATGGTCTTAGATTAATTTTCATTTTCCGCTGATGAATTATGTAGGGCCGAAATACTTGATCTCTGATAATATGTTGGATCCTAGGATGGACGCTTGAGTGATATTTAAGGATTAATATGAACTTATTTCGGATGGTGGTAACTAGCGCCAACTTCATGCCTCTTTTATGGAAAATACAGCGAGTGATTGCCAATAATCAATTAAAATGTACGCGAAACTGTATAGGGTGTCCTAAGTTTTGTGTAGAGTTGAAATTAGCATTCACTTGTACAGGAGACCATTTATTGTTCGGCTAATTCTTTTAAACCCCTTGGGCATATTTTTCTAAGTTAAATGTTATAGCATATTTTGTCATTTGCAAATGATGTAATACCACGAAAGTCTGACTACTGAAGAAGGGAAATACAAGAATGTGAGAAACGTATCTGTGGTTTACTTTTTCTGCATACAGATTTACATCAGTTTATCAGTCATGAAAAGAAAATACATAGCATACCTTCAATTCACTAACAAGAAGATATCCCGGTAGATAAATTACATTCTAATGAAAGTGAGCGTCATTTCCCCTGTAGTTTATCTTATTCAAAAATTTATCATACTGTGTGTAATAAAGGGAAGTTTCTGAGTTATGCTAATAGACAATATTGTTAATTTTAGAGCTAGTTTTTATGAATGGAAAGATATACAGTGATAATGAATGTCATCCGTCGGTCAGCAGTTCACTTCCCTCTATACTAATCAGTATATATTAGAGTTCATTATGTTAGTACAGCCCATCATTCATATAGTTTGAGCAGACTCAACTTTGTTACAGGTAATAGCAAAAACGCAGTCCAATTTCAGAGCTTCATTCTATTCATGCAACACTTATTAAAAGTTCACTACTAGTACTCTTAGTTAACAGATAGACTTTTTTTCATTCATTTGCATTCCAATCCCTGAAGTTTCAGGGTCGGGTTTGTTAGTCTCACACTCAACTCTCCCTGTTTTACCGACAATACTATCGGCTAGTAAACTAAGCGAGGTTTAGGAGTGCGTAAGCCGGGAATGGCACGCCAGACCACATGCTTGGTTGGAGACCATTCTGACACTGAATCACCGACGCTGTAAACCAAGAAGTACCGGACATTCGCCTCGTTCTAGTTTATGACTTTTCACCAGTAAGCATCCATGACTTCGCTAGGGATCGAACGCTAAACCTGCAGGTTATATGGCAAGCTCTTTGACCAACCAGTAAACTTCGACCACTGCTTAGTACTTGATAACATACGTAATATCGAGAAAAGAAATGAAGCAAAGCTATGTCGTGTATAACTGAATAAAGTGACTTTGGCGCTGAGAGTCTAACACATTACTATCGGCTGTTACATAAAAGAAGGTTGACGTTTTCCTAACAAATAGAAGGAAAAAAGGCAAAAATGTGGGACTGGTAGAAGAAACGAACAAAAAGCAAAACAACAAAATTATTCAACTTTATATCATTAATTGTTTATTTATTGATTATTACATTATGATGGTAGATAGCAAATAGTAACTGATAAGTTAATTAATTTGTTTGTTCATTTATTATTTACTTCTTCTTCTTCTTGCCTTTAACTAAAGCAAACAGCATCAATGTAATATCCAATCTCTTGATCAGCTTCACCGAATTCTTTTAATTGTATATCTGTTAAAGGCAGTAGATTTGGTTTACGAGCTACAAATTCAAACACACTGCTGGCTTTTTGCTTACTTCGTTCCTTAGAAAAAGTAAAATAAAAGCGAATATAAAGAGAGTTAAACATATTCTATTACTACTAAAATTACTTCGAAGTTAAACTTAAGACAATCAACAGGTGCGAAAGCACCAACAGCCTTGGAACTTCCAGTCATAGCAAGGTAATAAAATCACATAAATTACACTACACTCATGAAAAAAGTTTTGAATTAATTGTTGTAATACCAGACAGGATATTTGGCTAATTTTAGGTTAGGTTAGGGAAAGATTAACGTTAGATTTAAGCTAGGGACGGGGTTATTATTATTATTCCCTTGCGTCCCAAGTGGAACATAGGACTTTATCAACATATCTCCACTTTGTTCTGTTCTCTGCCATCCTCTTCATCTGGGTCCACTATTAACCAAACTCTCTCATCTCCTCCATGTCACCCTCGCACCGACGACTCACTCGTCGCCTCCAATTTGGATTCCACTCGAGGGCCTGGCGTGCGATGTCATTCAGCAGCCTCCTCAATGTATGCCTGACTCATCTCCACTTTCTCCTACATATTTGTTGAGCGATCGGCTCTCAGTTGGTTTGTTCCCATAGTTTTTTTGCTGCTTATTATTTTTGGCCATTTGATCTTCAGTATGGAGCCAGCGAAGGCAGCTGTTGACCGAAGTCTGCAACCTTCTGGATACCCTTTTCGTTACATACAGTGCAATTTTCTGACCCGTATAGAAGAACTGAATTCACATTAGTGTTGAAAATCCGAATCTTGTTCCTTTTGCTCAGCGCAGTGCGGAAGATTTCCAAACTGGTTTCAGGTTGATGAAGGCGTATCTTGTCTTTCCGATTCTAGCTGTTGTTGACATCTTCGTCCGTTCCACCTGTAGTTGAAACGATGCTGCACAACTAGATAAGTGAAGGAGGCAACCTCTGTTAAATTTCTCCCGTTGGTGGTGATTGGTGCTGGTTGTTGTTGCTGTAGCGGTTCGTTGGTTATCTTCATCACCTCTGTCTTCTCCATGTTCACCTGCTATCCTGTCTTCGCTGCTGGCCTCTTCGGCCAGTTTGTTGGTTTTCGCTTCCAAGTCTTCGAGTTTGTGTGACACTAGACATACATCATCCATATGCGAAACCCAGATCTTCTACGGTCTTCTCATTGGTGGTCCAGTGTACTCCTGTCTCCTCTATCCCAATGCACAGTCTGACGCATAATCCTATTCACCACAATTAAGAATACTATCGTTGTTAACAGACAGCCGGATTGACTTACTCCTGTATGCACTTTGAACGCCCCGCTGAGTTTTCCATTGTGGATCACTTGACAAGTGGCATTGTCATATAGTCAGCTGTTGAATGAGGTTGACAAAGACTTGGGCACTGCACACCGTAGTGTTGAAGTAGTTTCCAAATTACTTCTCGGCCAACGCTGTTTGTCTAAGGCTTTTTCAAAGTCGATGAAGTTGAGGTAGAGGCAAAGATGACTGTCATTCTAAGATTTGTTCTGTGATGACGATGTGCAGAGTCGCAATTCGATTAGCACATTATTTGCCTTTCCTGCATCCAGCTTGTTCTGGTTGGTGGGGTGGAGTTATATATCCAGTGCATATTTTATTCTGTCTAGGATGATGGGACTTAGTATTTTACTTAGCGTGGATAAGAGCATTATTCCACGTCAGTTCTTGCATAAGGTTTACGTTAACCTTATTAGAGGGACATTAGAGTCAAGGTTGAATTAAAGGGTTAGTTCTTAGCGTAGTTACTCTCCAAGATCATTGGTGCATCCATGCCTCTATAATTGAACTTTGCGGAAACTACTTAATATGTTTGATAGAGCTAAGTTAAACTATAGAACCCAGCCCCCAATCAACCTGACCACTTGTCTTTAACACCTAATTAGAAACAAAGAGTAATAGAAGTCACAGAATTATTAGAAAGGTAACTATGGATCACAGTGTTATTAGATCCGTTTACATTTCTGATTTTGTTCTCTAATCTGCTTCAAAATCCAAAGCCTCCCATAAGTCCAGTTATCCCTTCAAGCTTCTCCTCATATGTATATATTAGTAACTTCGATTAGGCATATTCATCCATGTGCACACAAGAAAGAGTATTAACACTGGTCCGAAAGAAATTATTACCGTGACCAATGCCTGACTTGTGATGATTCGTTACTTTTCTACGAACTAATATTTCATGTAAAAATATGGACAGAGATTTAAAAAAATAAATACTTTTGTAATTTAAACATTCGATTAGTGTAGATCAACATTCCGCTGATTGTTTACCTTCCCAAAATATACTCAGCCTCTTTAATAATCGCTTAGTGGTTCAAAACACACATCAGATCCCACTTCAAGGCGATTCGTACTATCTTCTTATAATTCTGGTTTGATAGTGGAAAAAAGGCGTTGTTTATTTTCTAAATAATCGAGCTTGTTTTATCACCAAAGAACATGTGAGTGATAAGTTTTATCAAATGTCAGATTATGAAATGTAACTAAGTAATAATATTCACAAGGAGGAAAATACATTCAAGCATTATATTGGTGTAGTTGTGTTCTCTGTGGTTTATAGTTCATCTGTGAAGCATTCGTTATCTTCCTAAACACAATACGTTCAACGCACACTTCAATTTGAAGTGAGCTTTTCGAATTCTTCGTTAGTTTATCAGTCATGCACTGGAGATGTTCGCAACTATCCAGCCTAGAGAACACAACTATACCAATATCATCCCCCTGAGTTGCAAATTCTCGCCATCATATCATAATATATTACTTACCATACATTCATCTTTAACTTTAACATCTAACAGTACACTACCACCGACTGCACGTGTACGACGATCTTCATATGTGTCAATGATATGTTCATCAAATAATTTCACAACAATAGCATTTTTATAATTTTGATTTTTTACATCAAAATATACTGGTGTATTACGACATGTGAATGTGATAACTTGTTCTGCTTTTGAATGTAATAATTGTAGATAACGAAGTTGATTTGTTGGTGCATAGTATAACTAAAATAGAATTAATTAAATAGGAAATACTTAATTGTCAAAATTTGTCATATAATTATCAGTAATTACGATTATTAAGGATATTGTGTTCATAAGGACAGATATAACGCCAGTGAAAAACTACTGAGATGATTTAAAAAACCTGCATTCTATCAAGTTTGACCAACAGCTGATCTCCAATTTTTCATTTCAGAGTAAAAATATGTTTACATACTGTCGCCAAAAATATTTTGACCCAAATTGTATAAAGTCGTTGAGGTGGTGTTTTTTTCTATTTGGGGTACCTGAAACAGAATGAGCATTAGTGTTACGCAAGTGAAGGGCCCAGGAGACAACTTCTTGAGGCCATTCACTGCCTGTCTGAATTGGTCTGAGTTGTATCCGTACTAAGATCTTACCACTGGCTACGGACCGATGCGAGGTAAGTTTGGATGAACAATTATCGGAGTTGACCTTTTGTAACCGTGTTCCACAGAATGGAAACACAGCATAGCTGGCTTGCTGGTAACCTGAGGGAAACATCCTAGTGCTGTTATATCCTTATTCTCCAGAAGTACGACTGCGTCTGATATACCCTATTTAATCATTTTTGATTAAATGACATAACTTTAAAAGTCAGTGTGACAGTCAAGTGATCGTCAAGATAAGTTTATAGGGCCTATCATCCTGAAATGATTGTGGGACTTGACCGTAGAATAGACAATATTTATAAAACTCTTAAATATTTGACTCTTATCATATGCTGGAACAAATGTATGAACAACAGAGAGTTTAGGAAAACACAGGTCAGAAAGGTAAGTCAATAAACAAGGTTATGGATCTCTGTTGACTGAAATGTCAAAGACAGTGGATGAAGTAAGATTAGGATAAAAGTAGGATTCTTGATGGCCGAACCAAAATACTGCATTAACCTATGAAGTTTCTAACTGTTGGGTTTATCAGTGTAACAAGATGTAGGCTCACTGTTTGGACAGTAGTAGAAATCGATTATTGAAGACTTTAGATGGTGTCATTTAAACTGGTAGTGTGAAATTAATGGAATTCATGTCTTTCCTTTATTCACACAGATTAATACCAAACGTTGTTTTATTTCTCTTATTCATATCATTCACCCTTTATTATTTTAGGAATGCTGATAGTATTACTTTCATTCCCTTTCATAGTTATATGCTTTTGTGAAGATTATTTGAATTGTCTCAGACTACCATTACATAGAGTATTATTTTGTCTATGTCTGTCCTTGTCCACAGCAAACCTCGTTCAAAATAATGCATTATTATTATTCCCTTGAGTTCGGGGTGCAGCATAGGGCTTCAGGAGTACATCTTCAACTAACCTTGTTCTTTACAATCTTTTTTACCTGGCATCAGGATTGACCAAGAAGGCTTTCATCTACTCCTCACATGATCTCTTCCATATCACCCTAGGATATATACCCAGCTCATTGTTTCCTATTCGGGTTCCTCTAGAAGGCCTAGAGTGTGATGTCACTCAGCTCAATGTGTCTAATCTGTCTATATTTTCCTTTGCATGTTCGCTGGTTGGTAGGTTCTTGGTTGGCTGGTTGCCATAGTTCCTTGTTGCTAATCCTTTTTGGCCGGCCGTGTAGGCCCGTTGGAAATACTTTTTGTAACATACTCATAAAGTCTGTGAAATACAGAGAAGCAGTGACTTGTCTGGCATTGTTTATGCTAAATGCAGCACGTTTCCACACTTTTTTTGAATTAGTGAAGTTCTTTCTTGTCTTTGCGATCCTGTCTGGCCAGCTGGCTAGTTGGCTGTGACATCTTCATCTGTGCCACCTGTAGTTGAAACGATGCTTCCTACATAAGTTAAAGAAGTGACTTCTATCAGATTTCTCCTATTGATGGTGGTTGGTGTTTGTTGTTGTTGGTTAAGTATCTTCGTCACCACTGTCTTCATTATGTTCACCTGAAGTCCCGTCTTCACTGCCCTTCTCTTCTTCCAACCGTCAATCTTTGAGTTTGTGTGACATTAGACGTAAATCATCCTCGAAGTCTAAATCTTTCATAGTCTTATTGTCAGTCCTACTTATTTCTGTCTTCTCTCTTCCAACAGTCTATTGCATGACCCACTCCATCACAGTCAAGAATATTATATATGATAGTAACTAGCCTTATCTTACTCCTGTTCTCACTTCATACGATCCTCTGTGTTTCCCCCTATGAATTAGTTAGTATGTGGCATTACCATACAGCTGTTGAATGGGATTCATAAATGCTTGGAACGCTCAGCAGTATCGAAGCAGTTTGTAAATTAATTAGCAGTCACCACTGTTGAACATTTTTTTAAAGTTTATGAAGCTGAAGCAGGGATTTGACTTGTTCAATGATAGATTGTCGCGTTGCAATTTGATATGTACACGGTTTATGTTTCATGAAGCCATCTTGTTTGTCTATCGGTATGTTGTTCATATTAATGAGAAGGATGTTACAAAGATTTACTAGAACCAATAAATTATTAGTTTCGTTATTCACTTGTGATTCATTCTTCACATTTCTGTGTTTATAGGACAGCATATTTTACATTTTAGACAACTTCTCCTACCAGAGAGAATTGTCCTTTTTGTTGGTATATTAACTTATTGAGAACCAAAAGTATTCAACAGAGTAAACCATTTCTTATAAGATTTTACGAGCATTTATTTCTCTTTTTTTTTAATTCTTAGGAATTTTATTTGTAAGTCTGTCATTTATTTGGAATTGCAGCAAACATTATTTTATAGCAACTTTTTTCCATTTCAGTCTTTCTTATCTGTTTAAGTGGTTAAATCATATAAATATGTCTATCTTGAAGCTATTTACTCTATCAATTTATTTCATTCATGCTGTCCAGAATGTTAATTTTCAGATATAACTAATGAATTTCTACAATCCTTCACTTAAACTAACTACAAATACATTAGCTGTCGAAAAACAGAAATCCTCTGGGCTCACATTTAGTTAGGGAATAGTGCTGTTTAGCCTTGTCTCACGTGTGACAATATGAGTGATGCACACAAGTAACATATTGTATATTTTACTTAGTTTAAGTGTAAATCGATTCTGCTGGCTGACATCATTATCAGGACTGCGCAGATATAGGCTAACATTGTTTTAGCTATGTATTTTGACTAGAAAGACAAATGACGCATATATTCAACTTAAATGTTTCTAGCTTCATTGGAATTTCACTTCTCTAATGTTTTGAAAAGTTACTCAGGCTTAATAAATAATAATAATAATAAATAATAACTGTACAAACACAGTCAGCGTCATTTATCACCACAGTCAATAGCTTTACATTTATGATCAATAAATTTTACTCTGAATTCCTACAGTAATGAAGTCGACGATGCTCATAGAAAGTAGAGTCTTTCACCTAACTACAGTTACCGAAGAATTCAAGTTGTAGTTATTTTTAAGAGGTGTGAGCTCTTTTGAGTAACTTGACTTATCTTTACCGGAGGTATGAGGAAGAACTAAGACTAGTCACCTAAGACTAGTTCATTTACATTTGGGCTACTAAGATAAATAATCATACTATATATTTATCCTTGATAACTCTGAACAGGGGCGAAAACTAAAAAAATTGTTTTAAATCAAATTCGTGATTTGTAAATTAACTCTCTATTTGAAATTTATACAGTTAGATAGGAAATTTTGCCACAGGATCCATTGGAAACCGAAGATGTTCAGATTATGATATGTGATCTTTTTGATGAAAATTTGCTAATTTGATTTGAACTATTACCAGTTTGTCCAACTAACCAATCGGAATTCGGGTGCATTGAACTGATCTATGGAAGCTGTGTCGAATTTGTTGTGCCCAGATCTCTGTACTACAAACATTTTCATAACACATATTTCAAACATTCATCTAACAATATAATATGGCATTACCAATCACTAAATATGATCTTTGAAGAAGTAACATGCTTTCATAAATTTCTTCCTATGATGCACTCGATAGCTGAAGTCGAGTTCCTTCAAGTGTATATTCTCAGACACCATATTTAAAGGTAACATTGCTAAGAAAGATTCTAATAGTATGTTCTTCTCTGTAACTCATCTAAATATTGACTATAATTAACAGGATGAACCTTATCAATAATTCCTGGGTCGTAGTACTAGTGAAGAAATGGCGACTAAAGTATCACTGTACCTTTCACTATTCGAACTTTTAACCAGTCGACTATTTATCTGCAGTCAAATAGATATTGTCTTCGACAGTGTAATTCTTATTTATTTGATTTCTTAATTTACTATTCATTTGATAATTTCGATATCAGTGTCTAATCAGAAATGCCTGAGTAAAATTCTACAATGAACTAGTTCATTTGACACTGTTATTATTTCCTTGGGTTCCATGTGGAACATGAAGCTTCGGTAGCAAACCTTTATTTCACTGTGTTATCTCCAGTCCATTGATTATTGTCTCCCCCGTAACCCATAAGCTTTTATCTTCTCTTCATACGATCTTCTCCATGTCATTATCGAACGTCCAACTCATCATTTCCCATTCAGGTTCCACTCGATGGAATGCTAGGCATTTTACGTCTTTAGCATCTATCCAATCCATCTCCATTTCGTTTGACTTCTGTGTTGCGCCATAGATTCTTAGTTGGTTTGTTGCCGAATTTCATCTTTGCTAATCGTTTTTGGTCGGCTGTCTGACTTTCAGTATACAGAGAAGACGGCTGCTGATTAAAACTTGTTAAAAATACTTATCGTAACGTCCGCGCTAAGTCGCTGAACCATACAGGGGCACTAATTCCCTTTTAGTTCTGATTGCAGTAGATTTCCACGATCATTTCAGATTAATGAAGGCCCGTCTTGCCCTTCTAATAATGGATGGCTCTGACGTCCTTATCTCTGTCTCCTGTAGTTGAAATGAAACTATTTAGGCAAGTGAAGTTCTGAATTATTGATTAAAGCAGTTAACTGAGTCATGGGTTTCAAACACTTTTTCACCTTCTGTGGTTAAGACAGCCGTATACGATCATTACCTCTTATATATGAGGTTTGACTCAATAAGAAGTGTCTGAAAAGGTGTGGTTTACAAATTACACTATTCGTTGTAGAATAATAATAGTAATACTAATGTTAAAACCACATATTCCAGTCATTCAGTAAAAAACAGCTCAGTCTGTACTGACGTCAAAGAATGAAAAGCGACTGGGCTGTAAAAGATTAACTTTATATTAGTTTGAGTTGTAAGTTGTGTCTGAAACTGATTGGAAGAGAGAGGAAAAGAGGAAACATTCGATTTAACATTTACATTTTAATAACTGGTATTAGACTGACAAAAGATATCTCTACCAAAGAGTACGTTGGTTTCATTTTTAGCAACTAGTTGTTTTAAACACATTCATCTTTTAGTCTAACTATTTTAGTCCATCACTGATAATTTTAAATGTCTGGAATTCTTATCTTTTACAGGTAAGCACTGAATAAAAAAGACTGGAAAGTTGTGTGTATTTTTATTCAACCTACTTTCAGTGACTGACTCCTGTGAAGAGGTAACATTAAGTATAGTTGAGACATTCAGAGATGACGGTATGAGACATATTGTAACGATAGGAGATAAAGACTTGATAACAGAATATTTATTTAGAATTTCATATTTCTATATGGAAGAATTATGTACACCTTATATGAAAACCGTTGATTGCACAGATATTTCGTGTTGCGTTAATTCTACCCTTCGTATTTTGTTTCTTTGTGTTCTTTTCGTGCCTCCCATGTTTTACCGCAACGCTGGTTCATTTATTCTTTGTGACTTCTTATCTATCTCTCCGTTATTTTGCATTTTCATGCCGTTCAACGTCTCTTTATATACTACTGATAAACCGTATCAGTAGCACACACTGCAGTATTTTTAGTCTCTACAAAATACTTTAGAATAACTATGTCCATGTATTAGTACACTTATAATCCTATGTATTTTGAATGACTTAGCAGCATGCAGAAGTTCATATGGCTGACACCATATACTATATTGTTAAGCTATTAAAATATAGAATTATAAGGCAACTAGAATGTGAATACATTTGTTTTAATATCCTTATGTCCATATCTCAGTAACTGTATCACATGTCCCAGTCAAAATGGTTTATTTGCAGTTATAGCTGAAACATAGTTTATAGTCTATCACTTTGAACATTATATAAAGGTAAAAAAATGTGCAAAAATCCAAAATCCCTGTACGTATGATCTCATTCAAAGTTCAGTTACTGGTTTTAGTGGCTATCCACTTCCATCGGATGGTTTCTACCCTCGAGTCTCATAGTGATTACAACCTATGTACATAGGACATCTGTAACTGTGAATATTCTAGGCTCGAGCCCACATTATTTGACAACTTAATCAGGGGTATTTTTCAGATATGTTTGGATTATTGATAGTATACGTTTAAAAAGCTTCAAGTTTTATGGGCGAATAACTTAGAATTTTTAGTAAAACAAAAATGTGAGGGTGATTTGGTATTCCACAGGTTTATAGTTTCTGATATCAACAGTTAATTAAAACGTATTTTTGGGAAATAATCATAACAAAATATTTTCAAAAGTAAATTGTTTAACAAAAGTTCAGGACGGCAGCAACAGGAGCACATGCGTGTATGTATATCAATATTTAGTATTATTATTTCCTTTAATTCCTAGAGGAACATAGGGCTTCAGCCGAACGTCTCCATTGATTTCGGTTCTCTGCTAAAGTTTTCACCTGGATCCAGGTCTGCCCACATGCTTTCATCTCCTCCTCGCATGACCTCTTCCAAGTCACCCTTGCACTGACGACCAACTCGCCTGTCCCCATTCGGGTTCCACTCGAGGGCTTGTTTAGTGATGTCACTTGATGGTTTCCTCAGCGCATGGCCAATCCATCTCCATTTCTTCCTGCCTATTTGTTTCACAATCGGTTCCTGGTTGGTTCATTCATTGCCAGAGATCCCTGTTGCTGATATTTTCTGACCGGCCATCTGATCTTGAGCGAAGACAACTGTTAATGAAGGTCTGAAGTTTGTTTGAGATGCTATTTATGACGCGCAGTGCAAGTCTCTGATTCGTATAGCAAGTAACACTGACTTCACATTGGAGTTGTAAATCCGGATCTTATTTTCACTTTCATGCTGAGTGCTGTTGACCTCCACTTAGACTTGAGAGTACTGAAAACTTGCCTTGCTCTTCTGATCCTAGCTTTGATATCCACGTCGGTTCCGTCTGCCTGTAGTTGAAACGATGCTTCCCGGGTCAGTAGGTAAAGGAGGTTGTTTCTTTCAGGTTCCTCCCATTTATGCTGGCTGATTGTTGTCTGTTGTTGTTGCTGTTTCCAGGAGTCTTCATCACATCTGTTTTCTCTGTGTTTACTTGGAGTTCTATCTTTGATGTTTGTTCTGCCAACTTGTCGCTTTTCACTTAAATATCTTTCAGTTTGTGAGAAATCAGACATATATCATCGGCGAAGTCCAGATCCTCCAAGTTTTTCGTGAGGGTCCATTTAAAGCCTGTTTCCTCGCTGCCCATTATCTGTCGCATTATCCAATATACCGCAATCAGGAAAATCATTGGCGATAGTAGGAGCCTTGCCTTACTCCCGTCTTCATTTCGAAGGATTCCGTAAGTTTCCCGTTGTGAATTACTTGGCAATATTTAGTGTATTGAATATCAATGAAATACAACATCATATTGAATGTTTTTTTTTAGTGTACGCTCTCTTTATTTCCCTGCAGTCTATATAAATAATCGCTAAAAATAACTGTGCTGTATGCTCTTTTGAACTCTATCATAAAACCTGTACTATACGTCATTTAAGCACACTGTTATGTGTACATAACGACGCACTCATCACACTGACGATTTTCTGATTCCTAGCATAGAAGCAAGTAAGGTGAATGGATACTAGTTACGTTAATTCGACAGGCGTATAAATGTAGCCTATCATATTTTTTTTAGGAAAGATCATCTGCATTTTGCCTAAGCAAGATTTATTTTATTTTGCCTATCCTTGTGTATATTATCCAAGAGGATCTTATAATATCACGACGAAATATTCATCTCTTTTGTACTGACAAACATTAACTGACATACAACATAGGCGCTAGCACAACTGCGTACATCTACTCCCCGACATCGGTATATTATGGCTTGGCACAATCGATATGTGGTAATAAACACCGAGTGGGATTACTATTGTTATGGTTATATTCGCTACTTTAAAAGGATGTATTATCCACATCTAATATTCTTCGAGAAACACTTTATTGCTGTCTACATCGGAATGTAATAAACAGATTACTACACTCTTCTAAGTTTAGTTCAACTTACACAGAACACTAATCATAGAAATTAAGCTAAGACTTACAAGGGAAAAGTGTCCAGGTAATGAAAACATCCATCGATAATCTAATGAAATAAATGCAGTCTAATTTGTTGTCAGACTATCCGAGATTAACTTCAGTTGGTGTATGTTTACTGACGTAATTAAGTGATGATTTAAGGTCAAATGAAAATCTGGTTTGTCACACTGAAATAATGATCTCGGTAATGTTTGGATCTCATAGCTCATCTGGCAAAAAGCTGAACTGGTACTTCGAAAACTGCTGATTCAAATGCTAGAGCGATCAAGATTTTCATTCCATCTCCAATCATCAGACATTAAAGAGACAAAATTGAATTTTTTAAAAATGTACAGCTGGAAAGTGAATAATGATCCTTACCTGGTTTTTGAGAGACGTAGCATTGCGTTTCTGTTGTTTCAAATGTGATATCCACCAATCATCTGAGTTATTTGTTTTCACAAAATTAGTAAGAGGTTGCTAAAAGACAGATAAAAGTAATGATTACAAAAGATTTATGATTATATATATATATATATATATATAAAATGATCGCTGTGATGCCACTAGCAGTTCCTCCCATACGGTATCTATATGATCTCGCATTTGAGTCAGTGCTGTAACGATTGAAGTAGTATCATTATACGTACCTTACCTGAAACCAAGTTATCCACAAAAGAAAACTCAGTGAGGCGTCTGGAGTAAACACAAGAGTCAGACAAGGGTGCTTATTATCACCAATGATATTCCTAATTGTGGTGGACTGGATTGTGCGTCAGACTGTGAGTGAGAAACGAGAAGACACGGATATCCTGGACCGACCGCGTGAAGAACGTAGAAGACCTGGATTTTGCGCGTGGATGATTTATGTTTGATGTCACTGTCACAAACTCGAAGAACTACAGGCGAAAACGGACAAACTGGTCGAAGAAGCAGTCGGCGAAGACAGGACTCCAAGTGTACATAGACAAGACGGAAGTTATGGAAATAACCAACCAACCAACGAAAACAGCAGCAACATCCAGCGCGAATCACCATCAACGGGAGGGATTCGAAAGAGGTTACTTCGTTCATCCACTTATCTAGCATTGAGCATTGTTTCAACTACAGGCAGTCGGAACGGACGAGGATGTCAAATCGAGTGAGGATCGGGAAGGCGAGAAACACACACATTCACCAACCTGAAACCAATCTGGAAATCTTCGTCACTCAGCCAGCCAGAATCAACAACAAAATTCGGTAGGATTTTCAATACGAACAGCGTCAAGTCAGTGAGTTCTTCTATACGGATCAGAAACTTGGCGGGCGGGCGGGTCACAAAGAATATTTCCAACAGCCTGTTGCAGACCTACCTTTATCAACAACTAACTGTCTTCGCTGGCTCTATACTGGAGATCAGATGAACGGGCCAGGTCTGAAAGAATCACCAACAAGAAACTGTGGGAACAACAAAACAAAACAAGGACCAATCGCCAACCAACAAATATGCAGGAGAAAGTGGAGGAAGATGGATTGGACACTCGCTGAGGAGGCCACTGGGTGACATCGCGCGCGCGTCAGGCCATTGCTCGAGTGGAACCAGATGGAAAGGGAAGCGGCGAGTAGGTCGTCAGTGCAAGGGTGACATGGAGGAGATCGTGTGAAGAGGAGTTGAAAGAGTATGGACTAACATGGATGCAGGTGAAAAGTACAGCAGAAGGAAGACAGAAGTGGCAAGTGGAGACGTGCAGTTGAAGCCCTATGTTCCACTAGGAACCCAAGGGAACAACAATAATAAATACCTGAAACCAAAATCCCATCTGAAAATTCAATAGCTTGTCACCAATATTATCAGGGAGACCTTTGAATTCAATTGTATAAAGAAATTAAATCTGTTTGGAGGTTACTGAAGGTAAACTTTGAGTTCTGTAGGTTAAGTTAGAATGTTGTACTAAATTAAACGCAGATATATTTCACATAAAGCGTGAACAAAGTTAACTTGTACACAAATGACATTTCTGTTTTAGGAATAACAAGTACTAAATAATTTCATTTTAAGAAACAAAATCAACTCAGCATATTTCTTTATGGACACAACAAAGGATCCTCCAATTTCGTACCAAGAGATATTTTCGATGGTACATCTGTAGTTTCGACGTTAGAATGCTTGCCAGCCAACCACGTGCTCTGGGGCTTGATTCCCGACGGCCTACATTCTAGACTTCTCCTAGTTTAATACCTGCTAGTAAGCCTGGAAAATAGGGAGGGTTAGGCGTGAGACTAGCAGCTCCACTCCGTAAAAGTAGCACCGCTGCTGCTGAAACTTTAGGGCCTGAGGCTTTTTCTCCGAACGTAGATAGAACTAAAGGATATTCTCCATGGATTTGTGTAAATGTAAAGATAAATAAAAATTTAATGATACAATAGATTAAGTAACTTGCAGAAATGTAAGCTCTTAGATAAGTTGTATTCTAAAGCTACATTTATAGACTAACTTGAAGAAAGGATAATGATTGAGAAGGATTTTAGGTAAACAACCCAATATGGAATGTTTCATGTTTACATGACTTGACTACATGTATGTCTTTGATGTTCACAGTAACACTCGTAATCTTTGAGCAGTTTTAACTCTTAATGATCTCAACTCAGGCTAAACTAAGAAGCATTTAGCAAGCAGTTAACCAATCGACTTAAAGACGATTTAGTCTTCAACCGAATTCCTGAACGACGATTTGCTTGAAGTATGATGTAACTATGTTGGACTCAATCTTGTGCTACTGAAACGTTTGGTAGTATGATGACAGAGCTGTTCAAAGCTTGTTATTCCATAAAAGCTACTCTGAGATTAATCAGATGCTGACAAACCCTTTAAGTTGGTAATATTTTTATTTCCATATTTCACATGTAGATCTGATACCATCCTTTATATAGAATTAGAATTATTTTTGTTTATCAATATAACTATTTTAATAACGTAGTCATATTTAAGTCTGATCTCTTATTTTCTTTAATTTGATCAAATGTCCAATTCAACCGGAATTAGTTACCATACCACACCTACTGCGTTGGCTTACATGAATAGTCAAGTTATATTTTACTTAGAGCATATCGTTTTCTGTATGTTAACTAAATGAGTCCAGTTCGAATGACACTATGTTTGTCCTACTAATCCCAGATCGGCTGGTTTTCATCTAAATTATTAAGTTAATTATTTGGAAACATTTCAACAGTCAAGTTTATAGGACACCTCCATGTACGTATTTGACCAGCTCATTGTCGTCTGATAAATACTTCATTGCCAGAACACATTTTGATTGGTTGGAGGGTTTCACCATGAGCTGACATCAGTTAGGGAACCATTGGAAAACCCGGGGGTAATGGACAGCTCTTTCGTCCTGGTTCAGGACTCTTCATCAGTACGCGTGCACTACCAGGGTTCTAACCTAGGACCTTCTGGTTACAAGGTGAGCTCGTATAGCATTGAGCTACTGGGACCCAATCTAGTGGTCCATGAATTCTAAATTCTGCCAATTCATTTTATATGCCTAACACTTATGTTTTACACTGTTGACGTGTATGATCCCATGACGTGTAGTAAGTAAGATCCACTGCTACTAGACAGAATGAATCCCCGGCATATTTACAACATACCATTAACACAAAACAAATGAGTTCGAAATAAAAGGGGTTTCTGACGCTGAGAATTATAATAAACCATAATAAAAATTAATTATTTATAATTTTACTGTTTGTTCCTGTTAAGGCTGATAGTATAAGGCGTGCTCTTATGTGGCTAACATTTTTTCATTCTTTTTATGTTCCGAGTGAAAAATAAGGATTCAAACTTGATCTTGGAGTTTTAGTAGCGGTGGTGTGTCATTAAACAGGATGGATTTGCTAGCCTCACGTACAACCTTTCTTCTTTGTCGGGTCTACTACCAGCTTAGCGAGGTCTAAGAGTACATCGGATGGGAGTCAACTATAGACCACTTGTGTGATTAGGACAGTTGAAAAGTTCAGTCATAATCCTTTTTGCTTCTCACTGTCTTATGAACAAACCCTATAATATCAGTTCTTTCTAGCCTATTCGCTTTTACTTCTTATTCTTAACTCCAGTGTAAGATAAATTTTGAATAATTTATTTGTAGGTTGATTTCCAACTAATGAATTATGAATAACAAACTTAATGTTCCAACCTATAAAGTTTTAGCTCCCTAACTATTGTCAACACCCTTGAAACAAGAAGTATACTCAAACCACTAGTATGCTGACTAGTATACTTGAATGTCCAATTTCATTTAATATTCAAAAATTTTATCAAACAAAATATACTCTAAGCAAGCAGTTAATTATAAACACACACAAAGGCAGTGGTTACAAAGCATACTTTAAATCTATTCATACATTTAGATTATTAATAATTGATAAGAAGAAATCCATTAAGGTAAGAAAAGTACAAACACTTTAAAGAGTGTATTAGTGTGTGCATGTGCTTGTGTGTGTGTGTGTGAAGAAGAAGGACAATGGCTATTGTTTGTCATCACAACGACAAAATGAATCATTTAGACACTGTAATATCATTTATTTTAGAACAACCATTACTTATGAATTGCAATAGTTGTCGAAATAAAAGTTAGAAATGATTGTTGATATTTTCGTGATAATAATAACCTTGGTGGTTAAGAACAGATTTCATGACACCTGCTGGTATATTATAGGTCAAATACACAAACATTAATCAATGAACTCAACAGTCACCGAACTAGCACTATTGGTGTTTATATATATATATATATATATATATATATATATATATAGGCTTAGATAAGTATCTTGCCTACGAAGCATGTCGTTTATACTGTTCTTGTTTCTAATTTGTTTGAATCACTAAGATAAACATTTGATCTAAGCTCGAGGCATATTTTAATCTATTAGAACAAAAAGTGCTGACGATAAGTATTTTTCTTAATATCAGTAAAAAGTTTGAGCATTGTGGATTAGATCAAATAAAGTATAATTATATTTCAATAGTTTACACACAATGATAAGTTTTGTTATTGGTAATATTTCGAGCAAAATTACCAATAACGAAACTTATCATTGTGTGTAAACTATTAAAATATAATTATAAGTATTTTTCTGTTTAAAACTAAAAAGAAAACTCTTTAAGTATTGAATTGTAGGGTTTTGATTGGTTTCAAGGTAAATTTCATTACGAATCAAGATTGGTTAGTGAACTACTGAAATCCAAGGAGTTACAGACAGGTGTTTTGTCCTATTGTTCACCTGTCACCTTACCAGAGTTTACACTGTTGAACAGCTCCAGTTTATGTCGAAACAGCTGTCCAACGCCACCTAGCTTTCAGTGGTTATTTAAGTGATTTCGGTTTGTGGCAAAATTTACCTAGAAAAAAAACCTTTTTGGTATATCTGATAGCAAAATGGAAAACTAAGACGTTTATTTAGTCGAAGATTAGAAGAATTGACTACTTTTACAAGGGTTTATTTCAGAGACCAAAAAAAAAGTTGCAGATCAGCTGGAAACCAAGCTGCAGTAGAGAGATCCTTTGTTTTCTACTGGGAGCTCCTTAGAATCATGAACTTGTGACTTTGAACTAGAACTGAAACAATGTCTTAGTGATGTGAATAATGTGAAATATATATATATATTTCTAATAATTGATAACTGAATGATAAACGAAGATGAAAGCTGACCTATGGCACTTGGGAGTAACTGAAGGCCAAAAAGCAAGGCCATCTCACCTGTTATTTTATCCTTCTACATCTTTCAGTGTTGTTTTATTTAGTGCATTCAATTTGGTCTTCGAGAAGAACAAATCCGCTTCACTTTAATAACTTTTCTTCACCCTTATTATGTAATGTTTTTTCAGTCAAACCTGACCTTTGAATTTTGAGTAGCAGTGATGTGTCTTTCAACGAGGTGGAGCTATTAGCCTCATGCCCAACCTTTCCTCCTTATCGGGCTTACTACCAGTTAGGCGATGTTGAGTGAGTCGAACGGGAATCGAGCTAGGACCACATATGTGGTTGGTGGGTATTCTAGCACTGAATAATCTATGCGTCTACATACTATTACTTATAAAGCCGACTATATTTAAACAACTAGTTTACTTGCTTACGTAGTGAAAACGAACTACAGTCTCCTGGGCCATTTTCATACACTATGATTTGACTATAGCTTTCAATGCAGTGCTAATTTTATAGCAACGAATATTCTAAGTAACTTGATCATTATTAATTCATGGGGTACCGATCAATTGTTAACTGGTATGCATGGCGAGTTGATATCATTCTGAGAAACAGTCAGGTATGAAAATCGGTAGACAGACATTTTATCCCAACCTCAAATCCTTGGCTGTATGCACCTAGAACTCAATCGACTTTGAGATACTGCTATCAGATCTTCCAGTCAGTAAATCACCATTGATTCATTGAGTAAAAACCTAATAGCTCAAGTTTTCCTCAAAGATAATATTTATCGTGGTTGTATCGTGGAAGCTATGGGACTTAGACTATCGGACTTCTATCCAGTGGGTGAATAATGACGCGTTTATCGTCAAACCTGTTGATATTTGACTTGATCATGAAAAGAATCATAGATGCGTATAACTTTAGAGCTCTAAGTCAGAACAAAGCAACTGTATACCTTTATTTGATAAACAAGCAATGCTTTTTTGGTTATGGTTACAGCTTAGTCTAACTTAAAAAATAAAGCAGAAGTGTGAAGCTAGTTTAGTCAAAATCGATTGATTTATAAATTAAATTCTTATCTATTTATTCATTTTCAGTAATACCTATGTGATTCACTCGCTATCAATCTAAAAATGAATTCCTCTTGAGAAGTAATGGTGAGTGATTAGTAGGTATATTATTTTTTCACGGGTTTAAGCGAATAATGATCAAATAGACACAATAATGAAGCGAAATTTTTCTCCTATACCTATTTACTGTAAGATAACATTCATTAATTTTCTTATTTACCAGTAATGAGTGTAATTTTGAGGAAAGAGTGGTTTTAGGAATAAATCCAGAGTATACTACTAGCTAATATAAGTGGACACACTACTAACCAGATCATAAAACTAATTGATCTGCATAATACTTAGCTTTTAGGTGAACAGAAAAGATTAAACTCTTCGTTTTTCACTTTATTTCACTCTTTTACTCTTTCCCAAAGTCTGCAAGTATAACCTGATACTTTTCAACTTGGTGTTTTGTTCAACTCTTTGATCTAAGTTTTACCATGAAACCTATTCATTATATATTTATACAACTCTAATGCTACGTCAGGATCCAAAGGTTTTGAAATAATTTCTACTTGGCTATTTATGTTATTATTTTGTGTGTGTACATTCAGTTTGTCAAACATAGAAAAGTATTCTAGTCTGACCATGGATTGATATCAGTTAGAGAACCATTGAAAACCAGGGAGTACTGGACAGCTGTTTCATCCTAACGTGAAAATCCTTGGCAGTACACACCCACTGCGTTTCAAACCAAGGACCTGGTGGTCAGGCTAAAATCACGAATTGGTAGAAGTTAGAATTCATGAACTTGCCAGTGGTTGAATGGTATAAGAGCTTGCCTTGTAACTTGAAGGTTCTGGGTTCCAACTCTGGTCGATGGTTGCATACTGATGAGGATTCCCAGACTAGGATGAAACAGCAGCTGTCCAGTACTCCTGGTTTCAAATGGCTCTCTAAATGATATCAATCCGTGGGCAGACTCGAAAACAAACAAATATAATCCTTACAAACCAAATCTTGAAAATGGTAAAGTATTTTTAAAAGATATTTGAAGCATAATAATTACTTCCGTCTGGTCATCGGTAGACATGCTATAAAAGGATTATGAAATGAAAAACATTTAGTATTCGACAAAATTCATAACTAATCTCCGTCTTTATTTACTTCATTCTATTTTGTTGTTGTCTTGTAGCACTCTCCGGTTTTCGACTGCATGAATTTCATTTCCCTGTCTTCCTGTCTATATTCCCTTCTATTTGAGTTGGCGAATCTTATGAATAACAGTGTCTGTGTATCTGTGTGCCGAATAACCGGTTACCACTGGCTTCTTTAAAGCTTGGATTTACTTAAAGTTAGGTGATTAAATCTCATCCAATCAAGATTTGTTAAAAATAATGTGAAATATAAAATAGATTTGTGTTAATTCAAGTATTGGTTTGTAGGGATTTGGTTGATTGGTTACAGGATTTCATCATGAGCTGACATCAGTGAGAGAACCATTGGAAAACCTGTGAGTACTGGATAGCCCTTTCGTCCTGGTTCAGGACTCTTCATTAGTACGTACCCACCGGGGTTCTAACCCAGGACCTTCTGGTTACAAGGCGAGCTCGTATACCATTAAGCCACTGGGACCCAATTCAATGGCCCATGAATTCTAACTTCTGCCAATTCATGATATAGCGCAACCACTAGCCAATGTCTTCGGCGAGTATTTGTCCTTACACCCGACCTGCTGCACCCTACTAGTTATGACTTCCCACTGGAACCCCAGGTAACTACCTACCTGAATAGGGCCAGTCGCCAGTGAGCATCTCATTGGTATTCAAGTATTGTGTTAACTCAATTAAACCAATATTACGTGAGTTTTCACTTTAGATGTATGACATAATTATTTGAGTAGTCTTCAGGCTGTTACAACATAATGGGACACATCAATTCGAGGGTTAACTTATGGTTGCATATTAAGCAATCAACTCTAATTTGATTTGCCGGTATTAACTGTACCCTGAGAGAAATTTAAATAATCCTAACTAACTAATTATTGTCCACAAATGCTAAGTTAAAAAAATATCATAATATATATTTTGCTGTAAGAAAGATAACAGAAGGAATAAACGTAAGAGATATAAGCAATGGTAAATTAAATAGGTCTGTAGAAGGGGAATTCATCCTCTTCACTAAATGTATAACCCCATATAGAGAGTTGTCCAAATCCACTTAAGAAAAAAATTTTGCATTTTAAGCATACATTTCAATCATACTTACTGTTTTAGCATCTTCACTTGGCTTGATACATGTTTCAGCTACATCACCTGTATTCTGGAATCTGCATTCAACTGCAAAAGCATCAGTTGGAGAGCCAAGATTCGGATCAATCCAGTAGACACCAGATTTTAAGGTTTCTGGAAACTCAGCTGCTTCATATATATCACGACAATGTCTTGCTGGATTCTGTTGTGTACCCATAGGTTGTTCAAAACTATTCATAGATGCTTCCAAACTTTCAATTCTTGCGTATATACGACGTAGAACTGCACCAACTGATGGTAGAGTGTTCGGTGTGATACTTTCGTCTAAATGTAGGTTCAATAATTGTATCATCAATTTACAAAGATACTTAAAGAAATGTTATTATTAGTTTTTTTCAGTTATAAATACCAGAAGATTATGATACTCAAAGTATCTCAAACACTGTCTGGTGTCCATATAATCAGGCAGTTGTTGAACTTGAAACGACAAACCAAAATCTTAAGACCTATCCACAAACAGGTGTTCTGTTCAGTTTCTGCCATCAAACCAATAGACTAGTAAATGATAAGAATAACTGGTTGGGGAACATTCATCCAAAAACCACTCTTTTTACGCATTATTTGCATTATCGCATGAAATTCAAGTTTTCAACTTTTATGCTTTTTCTGTCTCTATATGCTCCATCAGTGTTTACACTTCTATGTGACTGTGGTCTTTAGTTGGCTTTCCCTACTCTTTTGTTTACAGGATTTCATTATGAGCTGACATCAGTTAGAGAACCATTGGAAAACCTGTGAGTACTGGACAGCTGTTTCGTCCTAGTTTTGGACTCTTCATCAGTACGCACACACCACAGCCAGGACCTTCTGGTTAGAAGGCTAGCGATCTCATAGGCTATTAAGCCACTGAGACACGATGCAATGGTTCATGAATTCTAACTTCTGCCAATTCGCAACTTAGCGCAACCGCTAGTCAATGTCTTCGGCGAGTATTTGTCCTCACACCCGACCCGCTTTTCTTTATTCAAAGTAAGCTTGAATTATGCATGGAAAACTGTTATTTTGCTGTGTTTGCACCATTTGTTCGACTGAAATAAATACAAGTTTGATGAATGATTGATATGAGAGAGAACTAGGGATTATTGGGCAGCTGTTTCGTTCAGCAGTACGCACCTACGACCTACCAAGCATCAGACCTAGGACTATGATCAAACTTACAACTAATCAAGTTCCTTAAACTAACAAACAAAATAATTCCATTCGATATAAATGCTTTTTATTCTTGAAATTACCTGAGTGAAATGGTCATGTAGCATCTCTTTAATGCTGCTTGTTAGAAACTAATCCATCAAGAAGACGCATATGACGTCAAATATCATTTAAGCAATCAATGAACATCACTCGAGAAATATATTCTACCTTGGAACACTATTTATGTAAACATTTCCACCCTGAGAATTTACTCATAATTGTTAAAACAGCTGCAGTTACTAACTTCAGAGATAAAAACTCTATTGATATGTGTTTCATTTCACTCAAATCCAAAGAACTCAGGTATCCTCCTACATGTTTTTAAATGTCTATCAACCACTAGTAAGAATCTATGCATAATGCAATAGTTTCTCAGTGATACATCAAACAAAATTTATCGATAAATATGTGGAATTTGTATCAGTTAACAATAATTCATTTACACTGTTGTAGAAATCTTTCATAAATTTATCTGAAAACAAAAATGTCCTTTTGTTTTTTATCTGAATTACGAGAAACCATTTATCAGGAGAAAAAAAAGTGAAATTCCAAGAAGTAACTAAAGACGTTACTTCTGTTGCTTGTCTCTTTCATCACATGTGGATAATTTTCTAAGCATAAGAAAAACCTAAATCATGCTGTAAATAGGAAGTTTCTCTTTCCAGTACTCCCGCCTTCAGTCTCCAACTCAGCTGATAGAGGAGGCTCCTGTATTACTTACTGAACTCTGTAATTTAACGTTTAGTCCTCCAGAGTGTGTTATTTGTTCTCAGATATCATCTGAATGTGTTTTTAACTAGAAATCAAGACTGTACTTTATCACTGGTTCACTCTGAAACTATTTAGTTACAAGGCCACTTGCTTCCTTGAAAAGTACACTATTTACAAAACAGAACTCTGTCAACGTAAAGGTAACTTTTTTCAAATTCAATGATTGACTGTGGACCATTGAAAACCAGGCGTGCTGAACAGCTGTTTCATCCCGGTTTGGACACTTCAACAGCACACACTCATGACCTCATCGTGGATCGAATCTGGGACCTTATAATTAATAGACGATATCGTTGATCATTTAGCCATTGGGACGGAATTCAGTGACCAATGAAATTCAGTTCTGTCATTTTGGGATTTTCAGTATCATTGCCAACATACTGCTTGGGAGTCCCAAGCTAAGACGAAACAACTGTCTAATACTCCTTGGTTTTCAATGGTTCTTCAACTGATATAAACTTGGAGCCAATCGAATCCCTACAAACTAACACTTGAAAATTATATGCATCTTTTTTACCATAAACAAGATTGCGGCTGCGTCTTGTTGACGAGTACTAAAAATCCCGGGACTTAGGTCCAAGGCTCCAACTATCTAGCAACAATTTAGAGTACACCGTGATGTCGGCTAAACTGCAAATTTCACTGATAGAATTCAGTCTGCATTAAACGGAGGTCTAGAAGGATGACAATAAGTAATGCCTACTGTCCAATGAAAGAAAATGACCAGTAAACATGTCCTTTCACACAGTGGTGTTTTTAATTTCATTTCAGGTTGGCAGCTTTGTCTCAATTACGCTAACAATAAAAACCATGAAACGTAATATAAAGTCACACGAAATATTCTGGTGAAAAGAGATAAACACTTCAGAAGACTCAAAATGTGCTTGTTTAAATGAGAACTATAACAACAAGATGCATAAAAGTAGACGTGAGAAAAAATCCAACAAATTTATAAAATCGAAAATACAAAGGGCATCACGACAGGGTAATGGTTAATTTATCGACCTAGCAATTATGATCTATTTAGAAAATATGTGTAAATTAATTAAATTTACAGCAGAGTAAAAGAATCACTATGTGATTTTGTTCAGGTTATATGAAAACCAACAAAAAGGAAGACTAGCGTATTTTTCTCAAGGTTGTAATATATATATATATATATATATATATATATATATATATATATATATATATATATATATATATATATATATAACCTCGCCTAGATTACTAGCTCGCTAGGTTTCTAGCCGATCCCAAGCCCGGATAAAGAGGGAGGGTTGGGGCGTGGTGCTAGCAACTCCACCCGAAAACTCAACCAAACCGCTACAGAAACTTCAACGCATAAATTTATTAAAAATACTAAGAATATAAACAATAAGCTTACTTTTCGCTGGAATCGGGGAAGGGAAGTGACGCAGGCTGGCGAAAGCCTTCGAAAAGCCAGTCAGCCGATGTGTCTTCTTTCGATCAAAGCAAACATAAGGATGGGAAAGTGGAATGCTCGTACAATGTACGAAAGTGGAAAGGCTGCCCAGGAAACATTACGTGACATCACGGAGGAATCATGCGTGGAAGACCATTGGAACTCTCTGAAGATGATTTTAAACGAAACGTGTTCAACGGTTTTAGGAAGAAAGAAGAGACAGGACAAGGAATGGCTCTCAACGGACACTTGGAAGCTAATAGAGGAGAGGAGAATGGTGAAAGAGAAAATGATGCAATGCAAAGACGGACAAGAAAAAGAGACGCTGAGCTCAACTTACACAGCACTGGACAAAGAAGTGAAGAAGAGTGCTAGGAAGGACAAAAGACGATTCTACGACAACCTCGCCACTGAAGCTGAGAAGGCAGCAGGCAAAAAGGGACCTGAGGACATTATTTCAGATAACCAAGTCTCTATCCGGGAGGAGATGAACACAAGTGAAACCTGTAAAAGACAGCCAACAGAACCCAATCACCAAGGAAGAAAAACAGATTAAACAGTGGGCGGATCACTTCATAGGACTCTTGAACCGACCACCACCTGCAACCCGTCCAGAAATACCAACAACAGCACGTAGACAACTGCAAGCCGACACCCATCCTCCAACAAAAGCTGAAGTCTTGAATACAGTCAAGCTTCTAAAAGCTGGAAAGGCAGTTGGACAGGTGGAATACCCCCTGAAGCACTGAAAGCGAACCCAGAGACGACAGCAGACATGCTGACTCCATTATTGCAAAAGGTCTGGTAGGAGGGAAAGGTGCCTGCTGACTGCAGTAAACACAGGAGTCAGACAAGGGTGCTTATTATCACCAATGAATGATATTCCTAATTGTGGTGGACTGGATTATGCGTCAGACGTGAGTGAGAAACGAGAAGACAGGGATACCCTGAACCGACGTGAAGAATCTAGAAGACCTGGATTTTGCGCGTGGATGATTTATGTTTGATGTCACACAAAATCGAAGAACTACAAGCGAAAACGGACAAACTGGTCGAAGAAGCAGCCGGCGAAGACAGGACTCCAAGTGTACATAGACAAGACGGAAGTTATGAAAACAACCAACCAACCAACGAAAACAGCAGCAACATCCAGCGCGAATCACCATCAACGGGAGGGATTCGAAAGAGGTTACTTCGTTCACTTATCTAGCATTGAGCATTGTCTCAACTACAGGCAGTCGGAACGGACGAGGATGTCAAATCGAGCGAGGATCGGGAAGGCGAGAAACACATTCACCAACCTGAAACCAATCTGGAAATCTTCGTTGCTGAGCATCAACAAAATTCGGTCGAATTTTCAATACAAACGTCGAGTCAGTTCTTCTATACAGATCAGAAACTTGGCGGGCGGGCGGGTCACAAAGAATATTTCCAACAGCCTGTTGCAGACCTTTATCAACAACTAACTGTCTTCGCTCTATATTGAAGATCATATGACCGGGTTGGAAAGAATCACCAACAAGAAACTCTGGCTGGGAACAAACAAAACAAGAACAAACCAATCGCCCAACAAATATGCAGGAGAAAGTGGAGGAAGATGGATTGGACACTCGTGGCGCCATTGCTCGAGTGGAACCAGGCCGAAAGGGAAGCGGTGAGTGGGACGTCAGTGCAGTGGTGACATGGAGGAGATCGTGTGAAGAGGAGTTGAAAGAGTATGGACTAACATGGATGGAGGTGAAAAGTACAGGAGAATGAAGACAGAAGTGGCAAGTGGAGACGTGCAGTTGAAGCCCTATGTTCCACTAGGAACCCAAGGGAACAATAATATATATATATATATATATATATATATATATATATATATATATAATTCTCACAGTAAGACTTCGAAGAAAACTCGTAAAGCTTACTTCAGTATATGTAGCTTGATGTATAAATGTCAAGCGCAAAACAATCATAGTTAATCATCAGTAGGATAAGATAGATTGAAATGTATATTAAGTCATAATGATAATCACACTTCTACTACTACTACTACTACTACTACCACTAATAATAATAATAATATCAGGAGTCACACTAATCCAGAATTCCCAATAGGCACAATAGATAAGGCATAGGAAACGAATAATAAGACTGAGCAATACTAAACTGTAGGGGAATGACCTATTCATAGGTATCAGTATCATCCTAATACATAATAACGACTAGTAGATGGAGACTTCTGAATTTGCAGATATGGTTAATAAACACTTGAACGTTTTAATTTGGTTGGGTTCTCTCAGCTGATTGATTTACTTACGTAGCTTTCATTGCCCTTGTACACTTTATCTTCATACTAAAACTTGCGCTTAAGATGTTGTCTAGATGGACAGGAAAGCTGTATAATTAAATCAGTTAGCTCAGAGAACCAAACCAAATCAAAATCTTCCACCTGAGCTACAAATCTTTCCTATTACTTAAAATTTTCAAATACGAAGCATTTAAATATAAAATTGAATCTTTTCTAATATTATAAGATTTGTAAATAAATATTCCCCTTTAGTGAAAATGAAGAACACAGAGTTACTTCAAGAAAATGTTTAAAATGAGGTGTCTGGTATGTTGATTTCACAAAAAGCCACTTGAACTTATAGTTCAATGGAAAACACTGAAGTGTACTATATGCGGTCAAGAGCGATTGATTTAATTTAAATCTGGTTATAGCTAAGGTTTTTAAATTCTTAGTTAATTTACAGTCATTGAGGTAATCATTAGTCGTATGAGAAAAATAAACTTTAGCATATTTCTTTTCCTCCATAAACTTTTCTGAGCTGAGATTCTTTCAAATCAGCTGCCCCCTATTGGTATTATCAAGTAAACAGCCGGAGTTTGCGTGGTTCCAATTGATTCTGCTCTCTGAGCTGAGTCAAGCTGGATACATCGATGATGACCTTAGCTGCAAACAAATGAAAAGGTCCCTCGTGTTTAGTCCACTTCAGTCCGGCTGGCTAGCAAGCAGCGCTAGTTAGTGTGAGTGGCATCCAACTACTCACACCAGTCAGAAAGTAGTATGTGGCGTAGAGCATGGCTGCTATCATGAATAAAAACAATTATAAAGGCAAATGTCTACATTATTCAAACTCAATGATTATGATTATCAGAAGGTAGGCTAAACACATGCAATGATAAACTTCACTGAGTCGTAATACAAATGATAAGCTAAGTATACATATTTACAAAAGTATCCACTGCAAATTATAGCTCACCTGGATCTTGTTTGAATAATGTGAATTGAGATATAATGCATCTGAAATACTGCGTCTCACTCTTGGTGTATCTTCGAATCGATAATAACCTTCACTCATATCTAAAACTTTAATTGGACCTGGAGGTCCAGGTGGTCCTGCAGGACCAGAAGAACCTTTTGGACCTGGAACACCTGGTAAACCTGTGGAAAGAATGATAAATAACGCATCAATCTCAATTTGTGTTAAAAAAGGAATCATACAGTTTACTAAATGTCAGTGACTTGAAGAAAAGCTGATGCTTTACAGAATTGAAACTTCACACACATGCGCCAGGTATAAACAGGATGCGGTGACACAGTAGCATCCAAAGTGTAGTAACCACGTGATTTTTACGAAGTGTTTTATTTGTTTATGCCTATAGCTCACAGAATAACCACTAGAAATTGTTTTTACATAAATTCCACTTTAATAAACCACTTTATCATTTGAAAAATTAGGTTGTTACAAAATTTCAGGTATCCTATCTACCGCATTCTTCATCCTTTTAGTATTCTAAATTAAGTTTCAGTTACTTCTACTTTTATTTCGATAGGTCTTGTTTTGTTACAAATGAACGAATGTCACTGTGGATCTAATATCTAATATTTTTCAAGTTCTTAGCACTGAAGGCCAGCATGATTGGGAAATGTTTCTCAGTAAAAGAAATCTTTGACATCGTCACTTAAGAATCTTTTGTTCATTTTGTTTGCTCTTTGAGTGACCACTTAAATATCCGGTCGATATTTCAGAAAAGTTGGTTCTATCAAATACCAGAGTTAATTACTGACATTAAGAAAGGCTTTTATCACCTTGATCGAACTGATTCCAGCTAACGTGCGAATTGCGTCTATACTCCATCTGTATTTCATATAAAGGAAATAATCAATCATATAGTCATTTTGAAGACAATCAGTGTGAAGAAATAATGTCAGGATTCACTCAAATCAACATAGGTGTTTATAAACCAGTAAATTACTCTTCTCAAGAGAAATGGATGGTAGTCGGTTCGTCTGTTTATCTATCTGTTGACCGCTTCACCATCTGTTTTAGTATAGTTCAGAAAACACTTTACCTTTATTTAATCATTTATTATCTTATAAACATAATATTTTCTCAGTAAAGAATTAGGAACCGACTGTTTAAATAACCCATTTTTTACACTAACCACCTAATGGTCACATAGACTACAGTAGCGATTACAGTCATAAAATAATTGAAAACTCATTGTTCTATAAAACAGTTTTAGTTAACATGACACAACTAGTGGGGTATATTATAATCTCAAAGCTAAAATCACTACGTCATGATATTTCCAGACTGTTAAAGGAATAGTGTTGACCGAATCCGATGAATCGATGTATTTAAGGACTTTCTAATTTTACTGCTGTTCAAATTTAGTCTCTAAAATAAGATTTCCCATGTACTAGACCATGAGCCACACTTATTGTATGAGGGCTAGCGGTACTGGCCGAATCCTCAGGCTGAAGTAAATAGAATGAGATTCGATTCTAGGGCTTATTGGCTGAAAATCTAGTGTTTAGGCCTGTGTACCATGTCGCCACAAGGAATATCTGGTAGCTGCCATTCACATCCTTTTTACGTAACCTTCTTATGCATACTCAGTCACTCATTTATCCCAGAGTGATACATGCAAACTGTGAAATATTAAGAAATGGAAATCATGAAAACAGATACATAGGCAACATAAAATGTATGATATTCAAGCATATATATATGCAAGCTGTAGGAAAAAACTCACCTGATGGTCCAGGATGTCCCGCTGGACCTTCGGGACCGACCGGCCCAGGTGGACCTGGTTGTCCTGGATCTCCTACAGGCCCAACAGGCCCTCGTTCTCCTTTAAGACCAACTACTCCACGTGCCCCTTCTAGCCCAGGAACGCCTTGTTCACCCTTAGGTCCAGGAGGACCCATTGGACCGATTGGACCATAAGTACCTTTGCTGCCTTTTGGACCACGATCACCTTGTATGCCAGGTTCACCTTGTTTGCCCTGGTGGCAGGATTTTTATGTTTATAGAAGAAATATAGCTGTTTAACAAGAGTTAATCATACATCAATGTTTAATACACATACAAAGATAATCGAAGCCTGGAAAGTGGCTTTGTAAACTAACAGCAAACCTGAATAGATGAAACCATCATTTGTTAAAATGAATAAAATCCTGTTGATTTTCATCCCAATGATGAATTAATGTTTTAAAATTGTTTTAGAAACACGAAAAAATCAAACAGTGGATTTACCTGTAGTCCTTCTGGTCCTCGTTCACCAGTTCGGCCTTGTTTACCCATTACACCCTGAATATAAATGTTGGGAAGGCAACAGAAATCTGTAAACACACGTGTTTAAATTGTATTGAAAACAGCTAATATTTTATATATTAGATGATCAGTTTCAAAATAAGAAAATCAATTTATAGCAACATAAAACGCCATTTATTCAGCATTCAGTAAGTTATTCATGATTTTATCTCTGTGCTTTATACAAAAAGAAATAAAGCTAAAGGTACATAGCCTCTGAGAATACACTGTTACCTTTTCTAGTACCTAAAGCTATATTCCAATATCACTTCTTGAAGACAATTGTTAGGCGAACCAGGAAGGAACCTATCACTTAACAGGTATGCAGAAGAAAACAGAGATGGATTGGACATACTCTGGGGAGATCATCAAGTGATATCACACGCTAAGCATGTCCTCGAGGAGAAACCTTATGGAAGGTGACCAGTTGGGTATCTGAGGCTGATATGGAGATTGGGTGAGGAGAAGATAAGATTTTATGAGCGATTGTGGAGACACTTAGGAAAGATTGGATAGAAGAGGGTAAAGTGGAGATGTGCTGCTGAAGTTCTGTGTTCCATCCGGAATTCAAGGGACAGATGTATTAATAATGATACCGTTTCTTGGAATACATTCTTAAAACCAAGAGGTAACAAAGTTTTTGGCAAAAATAAACTCATGTTTTTCGTAAATTCTTTCCATCTGCAAAACACTCTAAATACACCTAATAATAATGAAATCAGAACCATTACCGAAAATGATAAATTTTGGTTTATAATCGAACGGTAAAAGTTGTCTTAGAGAAACAGTTTTTAAATTTGATTTTAGAGGATAGACATTGCATATTTCGTTTGATTAAGTGTCTCTTAAATTATATTCTGCTTTAACCAATATTCAGGAAGGTATAACAATCAGTTATTAGATTTCTAGACGCCTTTAACTTGCAGTAAAGTAATTCGTTTTTGGATCACATGATTTACTCCCTTCATTTTCCTCTGGTAAGTGAATTCACGTGAAGTCATCTATCTAATGTTTGACTTTAAAGGAGTATGAAATTTCAAATTTATAGATTTTTGTCAACCGTAAGTAATATCACAAAGTACTGCTAATGTTAATGCAGATTATCATTTTTCTGATTGTCTTTTTTTCCAAAGTCAGTATCTTCACCTACACATTCAACGGTATGCAAAGTCTCTTCATACTCACTTTTTTCTTTGATGAATCATAGAAACAATAGTAAATAAAACCTATCAAACCAAAAAGTATACAGTGAATAAATTCACTTAAAATTTGTAGAAAAATAAATACTTTTAGAATAAATTAGACATTCCCAAGACTTAGATAATACCGCGAAATGAGTGTCCATTCTCTTGTTTTCAAGGAAAATAATTAATTTAAGTAGATGAAATCAGTATGCATGCATTATTACTTACCGGTACGCCTTGTTGTCCTGGACTGCCCAAAGATCCTGGTGGTCCCGGCGATCCTACTGGCCCTATGCGTCCTGGTTCGCCGGGTATACCCTGTTCTCCTGTTTCGCCTTTAACACCTTTAGGACCCTGGGGTCCGCTACGTCCTTGGGGACCAGTCATACCTGGTGGGCCTGATGGTCCAAGCGGTCCGGGCAGTCCTCTTAAACCTTGTTTGCCCATAGGGCCTTGTGGTCCAGGTGATCCATCTTCTCCAACTGGACCTTGAACACCTTTTGGACCCGGAGGTCCTGTCGATCCTTGAGGTCCAGGGATTCCCAAGGGACCCTGAAATTTCAGAAAAAGCATTAGAATCAGAAAGAGACAAAACATTTCATCTGCTGTGTTTGTTAATAAGCAGAAGTGAAATCGTTACGAAAGAAAAGCAATATACTGAGACACAATAAATCTGAAATGCAATCTGAGTTCCTTTCTATAGTGAAGCGTTTAATTTCCAGAAATATGCCTGTAAAACAGAACCGTTGTGGGAGAACTATGTTTACTACCCATTAGGTGCTGGTATGCAGTGTGATAACTGTAAGTGATGGCCTCAAACCTAACTCTTGCAACATACAAGTGCTGCTGCAGATCCCTCGCACACTGGTTGTGCAGCGACTGTGGCAGCTCTACAGGACACCATATAAAGGAAGCCACTGTAATGCTTAATGCAACACTGAAGATCTGTGACTGAAAAGGTTCCTCTCCACAAAGGGAGGGCAACCAATGCTCGGACACCGAGATACAACTACCGTTACTAGCAAGACATTGTGTATACATCAGTATCAGGAATCGAATTTCGCTTGTCACATGTTAAGATCAACCAATATTTGGACGGCGACGTTGCATTAACAGCCTCAGGTAAGCCCAGAAGTATTTCTGACGAAAAGGAAGCCACAATCGAATACATCTAAGGCCCCCAAAAGTAAAAGGCGTAGTGAGAGTCGAAAACCTACGGAAAAAGTTGCCTTGCAAGCCATTGGAAGTGTAGATCTAGATCCACTCACGGTGTTGGTGATTGGTGGGAAGTTTCCGCCAAAGTCAAATGGCGAAGAAGACGCAAGTGAATGTGGTGACGTAGTCTCTCGCAAAAAGCCAGACATAGCCATTAAAGAAGGAGTATTGTCCCAGCAGGATGGAATGACACCGTTGCCAAAAAGCAAAATAACCAATCAACGCAAACTTGATTTCTCCGACAGGTCTCTCATTTCTCACAAAGTGTAGGAATTCAAGGCTTCAGACTATAAGATGTGTCTGATATAATTAAAAAGTTAAGCAGTACCAGGATCTGGATATAGCCAAATCAATTTTAGATATACTACTTCCGACAATAGTAGCAGGTACAACTATTCATAAATTGTATAGAATCAGCCTAAACTCTGACTCCACAGTAACTTGTATCGAGCACCAAGAATTATAGGGATGTAATTCTGGGAAGTGCTCAAACTTTAGAAAGATCACACACCTTCGTTCCTACTGGCTTGTGCCCAGCAGGCCTCATTGAAAAAGAATCGGCAGCATTGGAATTAAGCAGACAGAGCAGGAATGATGAGAAAAACCCTGTTATCAGGGTTTTTGATTAGTGAAAGTTCGAAGTTTGTTGATTCCCAATCCTCTGAGGGTGAAATGTGGAAGCATCAAACTGAATTAAAAGTTTGTTTCACGAATGCGCGCAGTCTAAGTAAACTGATGGAGCCGAGTAGTTTGGGAAATTCCGTAAACCCGGATGTCATCGCCATTATGGAATCGTATCTAAATACGAAAGTGATGTTAACCTTTAAGACTTTACATTGCATTCGGTAAACCGACTGAATCGTAAAGGGATGGAGTGGCTATATACCTCTGGAAGTACCTAACTTTGAGCCACGCTGGAGCTCTCGCACAAGAATGTGGTTGATACCAACTTCTACGCCTCAGACAGAAGTGCATATTAGACATCAACCTCCTTTTAGTATATCTCAGTCCTAACTAGATTGCAGACGGTTTTCCTGGGTAAACTAGGACCATGGGCCCCCAAATCTGGGGGTTTTATGATCGACAACTTCATCGTCCCATCAGTTGACTGGACTGACCTTACTACGACATTCTCAGACAACTCATTCAAATAAAAACTGTGAGAATTTATTATACCGTTAACTGTAGTTTAACACATCAAGAAGCCTATGCTTTATGACTAATAGCACGCCTCCTCTGCTTTGGACCTGGTTTTCTGCAGTGCTGAACCTTATACACACCTCTATGAAGAAGTGATCACGCTGTGTTCACGTTTAAGTTTAAAACAGCAGCAGTATCCTGGGCCAAAACTCCAGCTCAACCAACAGCCAACATAAATGCCATCATTACCGCGGCCTCATCAAAAGAGTCGAACATGAATTCGGAACATCATGTTGAAGCTTCATGGAGCTAAGTCAAGCAACTTTACGTCCGGATAACTCAGTTCTTCATCCCATGGTCTATCTCAAAGCGTCAAAATCACTGCAACTTACAAACATACCTAGAGATTCGTGAACTATATGGGAGTAAGTATCAATGCTGGGAGAGGTTTTTCACGCTTGCGAGTTGAGCAGCCAGTAAGATGTGTGAATTCTCTGGAAATAAAGTTGTTAAAAGAATTCATCAATCTCGAATGAATTTCAAAATATATCTAGCTCAAAAGGTTTCGGCAAAAAACAAGAAGATATTTTCGTACATGAACCTCAGGAATAGACTTCCAATGGAGTCTGAAACCTTACTACTGATGACGACTTAATCAAAGAGGACTAGAAAAAGCGAAAGTAATGGCAGAATACTTCTCCAAAGTCTTCAAAGGAGTGAGTACTATCCGTGACATTAGCCCTGGTCTTGTCAAAGGAAGACGGGACAGATTTCTTGGATACTGACCAAAATATCTCATACCGATCCCTGAATAAACTAGGCAAAGGAAAATCAATGGGACCCAATAGCCTTCACGGAGCTAGTAACCCGAATAGCAGGTTCACTGACTACGGTATTTAAGCTATCTCTCTTAAATGGAGTGTTACTGCTTAACTGAAAAAACGCCGCCGTAACCTCCATTTACGAAGAAGGACCAAGACACTCTCCTTCAAACTTCATATCTATAAGTCTTACTAAAACCTACTGGAAGAAACAATCACGAAAGCTATCACGGGATATCTGGAAAACAACAACCTGTTGCACAAAATGCAGCAGGGCTTTCAGTAGAAACGCCTTATGCCTGTCAAACGTCTTCACAGCACAGGAAAGATGGAGTAAGCCAGGGGACAACAAGAAACCCACCAAGGTCATTTCAGTAGACTTCAGTAAAGCTGTAGACAAAGTGCCTCATACAAGACAGCTCACAGAATTGAAAAGTCTTGGAATCAAGGACCACTTGCTAGACTGAAGTGGGGAATTCCCCATAAGTAGGAGACAAACAGTAAGGATCAACTGAAAACTCTCCTCCTGGAAGACTACACTCAGTGGAGTGAGAAAAGGCATCGTACTCGACCCCCTGTTATTTATATTGTGTATCAGAGAATTACCTGAGCTCACCAAACCTCCTAAGTTCTATACACAGATGATCTGAAAATCTGAAAACAGCTTCTGGATGATAACGACGTGCTCATTTTGCATGGAGATCTAGACAAATTGTAAGACTGATCCAAAGAGTAGACACTTCCAATCAGTGTAGAAAAGTGAGCAGCTATATGCATTGGACACGCAAGTATCAGCTCGTGCGACATGGATGGAATAAAATTCCAATCACTTCAGACTCATATGGATCTGGTTGTTTTAGTAAGTCATGACATAAAAGCTACTGCACACCATCGAGCGATGGAAACGAGAAGTTGTAGATCATTCTAGGTAATACTCCGGACCTTTACTAGAAACACCAGTAAAATGTTCACCGCCTTATGTGCATCTTTAGTTAGGTCAAAACTGGGAAACTAAATTAAGACAGTCAGTCCTTGTCTTAAGGGGGGCTCATACATTCTAGAAGTGGTTTAGAGGAAGACAATACGTATAATTCTTGATATGGTTGATTTTTCATACTAGGAAAGACTTGACAATCTGAATCTCTTCTTCTTACAATGCCGTAGGAAGTGAGGATACCTCACTACCATGTTCAAAATTCTAAGCAATGTCTGCGGACCAGACTTATCTCCTTTATACCTTCCCTTCTGGTCGTAATATCTCAGAGTACATAGCGGGATATTCTAAAAGCCAAGGATAAACAATAGTTTTGTGAACTACTGGTTCTCCAAGTGAGTCATAACTCTTGGAACTGACTTCCAGAAGAAATGCTGTCAGTGCTCCTCGTTCAAAAAGATTTTAGGCAAGCACAGAAACTTGTAAGAAGAGCACTGACACAGACTTAAAGCCTTCTATTAACAATCAATAAATGTGAAATCAGAAAAGCTAAATAAGACAGATAAACAAGCTAATAAGTAATTCAGACATCATCTCTGTTGTTTACGTAATCCGAAAAAGAAAGATCATATGTGCAATGATAAGTTGTGTAAAATTGTCGTAAACAATTCAAAATGCTTATTTTTCTTTATTATGTGTCTGTGATGTGTTTCGACAGCTGTAATCGATACCAGTCTGAATAAATTCGATAACTTCATGTAAAAAACACAATTATTCTTCAAACTACAACTATGCTAAAGTAACTGAAGTCGTGATTTAAATACAGTATAAGGTTTTACAATGAAATATGATGAAGAGGCACTTTGGAGAAGCTATAGAAGTTGAAAATAGGCCACTAGTGAGAGTAATTAACAAGATTATTAGAAAAAATAAAATACTTAAAATGTGATCTTGTGAGACTACGTAATTCCATTGGTTCAAGAATAGAACAGCCTCCTGTTTCACACATTTCATAAAATAGGCTCTTAGACTGAATTTTTCTCTAGGTTACAGGCAAAACGACTGTGAATTTTAAAACAGAATCAATTACCACCTATTAAAGATTGAAACGGTTTGGCAAAGTATTGCACACAGAGAAAGTAAGTCAGTGGGTCAAATGTATTTTTCATAATCAGATAAAGTTTCATTCTAAATATCAGTTTATTTTGTGAAACTTTTCAATATCGAATGTAATGTCAGAAAGTACTATTTTTTAAGTGTTCGTTGTAAGGATATGATTAATTTACAAGTCTGATCCCGAGCTCTCTTCAGTTTGACAACCACTGAAAACCAAGGAGTACTTAACGTGTGTTTCGTCTTAGTTTGGGATTCTTCACAGTACGTATTCATAATCGTAGAGCAGAAGTCGTGACCAGACGGGATTAACACGTTGGCTGTGAAGGTAAATAATCAACGGTGATATTGGGCAGTAGTCATCCTACATATTACGAATATCCAGATGTTAGAATGCATAAGGTGAATGGCCAACGAGCTGGCCTTTTGACCTGAAGGTCCTGGATTCAATCACTGGTGAGGACATAGGTGCGTATTGCTGAAGAGTCCTAGACGATTGTGGAACAGTTATCACATATTCCCAAGTTTTCAATGGTTTCTTAACTGAAGTCAGCTCACTATCAAACTTTGAAACTTAAGAGTGAATGCTAGTCAGTGGTGCAGAGGCAAAATGAGCGCTAACCTTACATGTGTTCTGGGTTCGGCTCCCGGCCCGTCCACTCTTCAACTTCTTGGCCAGTAGCATACTCAGCAAAGAACGAAGATTAGGCGTGAGCCTAGCTACCGGATCCAATACAAAAATCACATCATTATTACTGAAAATTCAAATCTCAAGCTTGAAGTATAATTCCATTATAGAGTAAATTTGCCTGATAGAGTCTCAGAGTGTTATACAGCATTATTTACTGATAATGTTTTGAACAAAATTTGTTGCTCGTTATCATATCATGCTTGAAGCCCAATGTTGTACTTGGAACGCAAAGGAATGAAAAATTTACTCAGTCACACGAAACAATTTCACGGGAATACCCTGGTTTTTCCAACATAAATAGCAAACAGACCTCTTTGAAGTGGAGAAACTAACCTAAAATAGGAAACGCAGTGACATAATTTAGTGTAACTCAGTAAATACAACAGAGATTTTTAGAAAACCTACGAGCCTGTATTTCTGGAAATTTATTTAAGGTAATTTTCGGGAGTGGTGTGCGTCGGTTGTATTATATGTTGAATGTCTTTCTTCCGTAAAACACCTTTGAAGACAAATTTGTTAAATAATATCATACTACTGCATATTTACAAGTAATATAATTTTTTTAACAAAATCTGCCTGAGCAAGTGGTCAAAATGTATGAGATACAAAAACAGAGTGAAACACCTTCAACATTTTATTCTCAATGAAATAAATTGTTGGAAAATCTCATTTTTTCTAGCCTTACATTGACAGATTCTAATAAAACGAAAGGTGGTTATATGATATTTACTTGGATGGAGAATCACACTTTCATCTTCATCTATGTGGTAACAAACTAATGACTCAAAGTAATAAACAGAAGTTTAACGAAACTTTTTTTTTTAAACCGTTAAAAGTGAACTTGGTTTGGACATGTATAAACTTTTTTTACGGTTGAAAAATTAGTATTTTATAGGTATACTTCTGGAAAACACTGATTTACTTCATGGATTTACAGCTTTAATAGTGTTCTTTTGAAATTTGTTGCTTATCTTGATGTTCTTTTTTGTCATGAAATGTGTCGCACGAATAATACATTAGACATTTAAAATTGATATTACAGACAACATAGTGACTCACCAACTCGCCTTTTGGTCCTTCAGGTCCTGGCATTCCCATATCTCCTGGTAGTCCTTGAGATCCACGTGGCCCATCTTGACCTTTAGGTCCTAGTGGTCCTTGTAGTCCTGGACTGCCTTCAACTCCTGGTGGTCCTTGTGAACCATCTGTTCCTTGAGTCCCTCTCTCACCTTGTTGGCCGACCGGACCAGGTGGCCCAACGTTACCTTGTTGACCAACTGGTCCAGGAACGCCAACTGTTCCAGTCAAGCCACGTCGACCCATAGGACCTTGTGATCCTTGATCTCCTTTTTCACCTGGTTTTCCTGGTGTACCTGTTACACCCATCATCCCAGGTGCTCCAGGAGCCCCTGGTAAACCTCTCAAACCCTCTGGACCAACTAATCCCTCAGGTCCTTCTTCACCAGCTTGTCCAGGAAGTCCTGGTGGACCCTAAATATGGTGAAATATATAAAAGGTGTTAAGCAATAAGGTGGGAAGCAAAAGCGATATCCAACCATGTGAAAACCTACTTCTCATCAAATTAACGTACTTCATAATAGCAAAATAACTGGTTAACTGAAATGTGAACAAATAATGAAAGGCTAACGGAATATTTATTATCCTGAAGATAAAAAGTAAATACACAAACTTCATTATGATGGATTTTAGACGTCACCGTGATACTTTACTAATTGACTCCCAGTGTCTTGGGAAACTCAACTCAACATCTTTCACGCTATGTAATTGTCAGACTAATATTTATTAAACTTATGGACTGACATAATTGCTTTTTCAAACCATACTGCTTTTCTCTCAAATTAATTCTAATTTGAATAACATGGAAATGTATTATTTGCTTCATTACATCAGCCACTGTCTAAGTCCATAACGTTAACGATTGACTAACCTTCCCTGTTCAATACTTCACACTACCTTATGAATTGAATTAACATTGAATTGGTTGTACAAGTAATGAGCGTTGGTCATATTTTTGTAGGAGTGAACATGTTAAGCAATTTACAATGCAACATATTTTGAAAAAAATATTATACCCATCTCTCAATGCAAACGGTATGCAGTTTTTTTTCAATAGTTTTTCGATTACTATATCTTAGAGGTTTCTTTGTCAATTTTTTTTATAAAACTTTTAGATTTCTCTCTTCAAGCTTAAAGTACAAAGCTAGGAGAATCGTATGCAAATATCGCAAGGAGAATGTGTTACCCAAAATTAAAAATTGACGTTTATTTCTCAAAACACCTTTCAGACTGATATAGAAATACTGTCCACAATTCACCATAGCAATATCCATGATCAATGTATAAATTAATAAACATATCTTCAGAACTGCATACTTGAGTTAGGTTAAATTTACATACAATCATCTAACAGTGGGAGATACCTGTTTATACTTAATAATTTTTTTAAAAAATTATTCGAAAGTCGATATTTTGGATCTATCAGCTACACCACTTCACCGAACTTCTAAATCAGACATGTTAAAATGACTTAAAACCAAGTCAATGCATGCAGTACAGCCTATGACACCAAATACTGGTTATGGCCAACTATGATGTCTAGGATGCGTGTTTGTCTTGTATAAGAAGTGCCAAACAAATGACTAGATGTGTTCTGCTTGAGTAGTTCACTACAGAAGAACTGAGAAGTTTTGAAAATCAAGTACTTGGAAAACAGAAAACATAATTTCACTATGTAACAGGTTGATTTCTCGTTAGATTTCATTTTTGAGTCTGACTGGATAAATTAGTATATTTTAATAACAAGCAAAATATATGTCAATGTTCAAAAATACATTTATTCTACCACACAACTGGTTTGAAAAATAAATTCATATAATGATGAAAGCTTACTTGAATTCCTGGTAGACCTGGGCTTCCAAGAGGTCCGTATGGTCCACGTATACCCTAATAAGAAAGTAAAACAATGTAATGAATTGAATGTCTTTTTTATTGATGAAGACTGGTTTAAAATTGCCCAACTTTGTGATAAGCTTTACGATCTATAAACAGCACAAAAAAGAAAAACTGATGTACTTTTTCCAGGTCAAATATTACTTACAAGACAAACGGCAAGTCATTAAAATATGTAGTAGTAGTAATAGTAGTATTTATTGAGTCCTGGTACTCTTAGGAGTCCGCAGTCAACAGACACGGATTTATCACTCAGTTACATAGACACAAGGTCATCTTCCGGGCAAGCAAAGTACTTAGTACGAATACTAGTGGGCTAGAGGATAAGATTATCTTCAGAAATAATCAGTCACGTAGAAGATTACCATGAAAAATGGCTGGTAAACTTGTGGAGAATACCAAAAGCTCAGTTCATAGCGAAGTCTAATTAAAAGATGTTGTCTAAAAAGACAGCGAAAGCTTCTTGACTAAATTTTCCACCTGAATCACAAAACTTTCCCATCATATCTGGTACAGTAATGATTAGTAGTAATATTGGTAACAGTATTATTGTTAGTAGCAGTTGTAGTAGTGTGAGTAGTATTAGTAGTAGTTACGTTAGTGCGATACATGTTTATAAATAAAAGTAGAAACAATAGAGATTTATTTTCTGGCAAATTTTTACTATCAATTAACTTACTACTCCTCCTTTGTCGCCTTTTGGTCCAGCTGGTCCTGGAGAACCTTTATCTCCCTTCTCTCCATCAAAACCAGGTGGTCCCAGTGGTCCAATAGGACCGAGACGTCCTGGTGGTCCTCTTGGTCCAGCAGAACCAACCAAGCCTAGAGGACCATCTTCGCCTGTTAAACCTTTCACTCCAACTGGGCCAGGTGGGCCTCTTGCACCCATTGGACCTGGAAATTTCATTAAAATTAACATAATAAGTTATCGTTATAATCGTTTTAGACTGGAATTACTGGTATTTAATGACTCCATCTGGTGTGACTTAAGGTGGATGACTGAATAAATGGAAAATGAAGGTTAAAACGGTACATACGATGAGAAGGATGAGAATATAAGATAACATTTCCAATTCCTTTATTATATGAACCTATAGTCTCAAATAAATAACAAATCGAGGAATTTTCAATGGGTGGTTTGTAAAGAATAGATTTGTTTTGACAAGTTGATCACTGACCGACGATTTCTCAGACTGGGATGAAACAGCTATCCAGTACTCCCTGGTTTTTAATGGTTCTCTAACCAATATCAATCTGTGATCAAGTCGTCAAAACAAATTGAGGAATGCTACATTTTTCCGACTCAACAAAATAACCATTGGCCAAGTTACTGAAAACCCATAACGAATTGCTTACAGGAGCGCACCGTTGGCTAAGAGATAGAACGCTTGCCAACTACATATATGGTTCATGGTTCGGTTCCCAGCCGACACACTCCTAAACCTCGCTAAGCCGGTATTAAGGCCAGTAAAGAGGCAAGGTCAGGTGTGAGGCTAGCAGTCCCACTCCGTAAACATAAAAGCTCTAGCTTGAAGCCCTATTTTCCACTAGGAACGTAATTGGATAAAATAAATAATAATCAACAAAAGACTCACAGAAATTCAAATAATAACAGTTGGTTCATTAGAGAATAATTGCTTTGATAAAAAACATGCAGAGATACGGCATTGTTTACTGCTGACGTTTCGACAACAGTTTATCGTTTATAATCATATGCTTACAAGAGAATTTGTGAAATTCTATTTTTATAACAATAATGGTTGTATCTAGATTAATTGAAAGATATTGACTCAAATGAGTCTGTATCATAGATGTGTATCACAGATGATGATAGCTTTCTGTTTAACTGTAAACAGGTTTTAATTGAAATTATTACTTATTTCGTTTTAACTAAAATCAAGGATTGAACAGGTAAGGATATGCAAAGCCATAGGTTTAAATCATGATTTTATTCCTGTGTAATGGAAAGTAGTCATTTTGAATTCAACCAATAATCGCATTCTATCGTCATCAGCCGTTTTCTACTAAGTAAGGGTGCAAATATCAGTTGAAGCTGTTAGAAATTATGGCATTATACCACTGTGCATAAGATGAGCGGAGGTATGTTAGTGTACATTTCTAAACTGCATCAGCTCACTGATTTAGTCCTTCATTATTTTGGGTAGACTAATAAATGTCTCTCAAAAAAGGACTAATGAAGTGATCCATTTTGTATACAAAGACTATCATTGAACTCTTGAATTCCGATAGCTTTGGCTGTATGTAAAAGACAAATTGGAACTATTTTCGAAAGGTTCGATGAAATGAGGTAGATAACATTGAAAGTGCTTTTTCAGTATGCTTAGTGACTGCTATCAATCATCTCAAACAAAATTGGGTTTCTTAAGGATTTTATTTGACCTTCTAGGAACAATGAAGGAAAGTGCTGAGTATTTCGTTTGTTAAGCTGTCTAAGTGTTCGCCCTATATAGCTTTCTCCACAGGTGCAGCTAAATTTATAAATACACAAGTAGGTAGCTTATTTTTCGCCTGAGGAGTAATAATTGGTCGGCTGGAAAATGAAAAACAAAGGATGGCATCAGTCAAAGTTCGTTTTATGGCTCTAGACAATCCTAGATGTAGAATTTTACTAGCCACATCTGCATTAATCACTTTATTTGAAATTAGGTGAAGTATTGCTAAAATTTTGTAAGAAGAAATTTCATAATTAAGCTGAAAGACTTTCACCAGATGTTTCCTCCAATCAGGACAGGAAAGTGATGAAACTTTCATTACTATGACAAACAAAATTGTTGACGTGAGTCTTGAAATTTACAGTTTAGTCAGCTTTAGAAATAAAGTACTAAGTTTACTGTGTAATAAGATGCATACTGCTAATCGATATTCGTGTCTGAACACCACCCAAGTCAGCCAGAAGTACTTGTCACTCAGGCAGAGATAATATAAACGTGGTTAAATTTCACTCCATACTTATTGTAAACATACCTGCTGGGCCAGTGGGACCGATAATGCCTGCATCGCCTTGATAACCTTTATCTCCAATAGGTCCTACTTCACCATCAGGTCCAATTTCACCCTTAACACCAGCTGGGCCAGGTCGACCTGGCATTCCATCCATTCCCGGGAAACCTCGAACACCTTGGTTACCAAGTACACCGGTGAGCCTCGTACACCTTTAGGACCAGGTAGACCATCACGTCCTGGCAAACCATCTTTACCGGGATCACCAGTTGGACCCTGAGAAGCGGAAGTGTTGATAACGTGAGATAAAGTTAAATTCAATTAGAATTAGAACAGAAGTTGTATATCATGAAGAATGAAAAAGCATTTGTGACTTTAATAAAAATGAATCCTTTTTCTCGAGTAACAAAATACATTCGCCGATTATATGCACCCCTATGATACCACATATAAAAGAAGTTGGTTAATTTTGAGGGGTTAACTTGTTAGTTAGTGATTTACAACACAACAGACTGTTGAATTCAGTCAAAACCTAACCTGTCGAATGTAACTAAAATCCTTATATGAAAATAATGGGAATCAGTATTCTTTCAAGTTATCCCTCTGCATTTTCAATGAAAGATGAGAAGTTTAGTTTTCACTATGAACACTGGAAATCATATCGATAAAAAAATTAGTACTAGCTAATACTGTTAACACAAGCTTGTAATGACATTAAAAGATAAGGAACTTACTGTTGGTCCAACTGGACCTTGTTGTCCTTCAGGTCCTGGATCACCTGTTGGTCCTGGTGGTCCAGTATTACCAAGACTTCCGGGTTGTCCAGCTGGCCCTCGTTCACCTGGTTCTCCACGTGGACCTGGAAAGCCAACTGGTCCTTCTCTTCCGGCTGTACCCTAGTAAAATTATTTCCGAGGCAACATAAATGACAGAAATCTTACTGGGTTATTAATTTTTATAAAGTTTCTTAAAAAATGGTATAACTCTGGAAAATATGCTTCAATAACTCAATGAAATAAGGTTTTGGACATAATTAGAGTCTTCGGAGTGGTAAAAATCAGTGGTTAGAGACCCTTCGTAACATGAAACAGATATAATCACTCTCTATAAGGTGATACAACACTATTAACTGGGTGACGCTTCATCCTTCTGAACAATAAATTCATATTGGAAACTGCATCAGATTAATAATCCTGTGTCACCGTGTTAAACCGAATAAACTTGACTAACAGGAAGTTATACCACAATGCTCGAATTCCTCCATTTTTTAGTATCCACTCCTTGTTATCTATTAATCCCTGGAAACATCCGCTAATCTTCATTTCATTATTATCTTTCCTGTACATTCTTATGAATTGTTGCTTCGCTGCGTTACTTTTCATTTCCTTTATAACTGCTTTTATGAAGTATATCAACTTGAAACAATGAACTTTGTTCACAGTTGTACATTTCAAAGTTAGTCAGACTCTTGAAAAAGGAATCATTTTAAACTATCAGAAACCATCGCGGTGTCTTCCTTTCACTTTGGGATGGAGATGCTGAACTGCTTATATCTTCTGTCTTCTTAGCAGATGTCAGTAAAGATAAGTAAAAGAAATTTATCAAAAACTATTGGATTTCGAATAGTTTTTCGGTGGTTTCAATTCATTATGGCAACTATCTTAAGTCAGTTAATTTTATACAGTTTACTCAACATTATCCTACAATATTTTTAATATGTGTTGATATCGTTTCGGAAGAAGTATGAACTAAATTTCAGGGATTAATTTAGAAAGTTCAACATTATAGTAAAAATACAATAAACTGGAGATGATGTGAAATGTAAGAGACACTTCTAATAAGGAATCTGGAATTTAAATGTTTCTAAAATTCTATTTTAATATCAACATCTGTGTTACTACATATCTGATAGGGATACTTAATAATGAAATGTCATAGTCTAGTAGACCTTGTATTCTAAAGTTTATTTAATAGTGTGATGAAATGAGAAAACTTACCGGTGGTCCTACCGGTCCAGGAGGTCCAACAGGACCTTGAAGACCTTGTTCTCCTATCGGTCCGACTGATCCAACTGGACCAACTGGGCCAACATCTCCCTTTAGACCTGGTGGTCCAACTCTTCCTGGAGGACCACGTGGTCCAGGAGCTCCTCTTTGACCTTGTTGACCTGTTTCTCCAGGCGATCCAGGGAGTCCCATATCTCCTTTATCCCCAACACGACCACGTCTGCCGGTCAAACCTGGGGGACCTCGTTCTCCATCTGGACCAGGAGGACCAGGTGGTCCAAGAGCACCGGGCAAACCCTTAGTTCCAGAATCTCCTCTATTCCCAACCGGACCCGGTGGACCAGGGTCACCTTTCATTCCTGCAACTCCTGGCGCTCCTACTGGACCGGATACGCCAAGATCTCCCTTAACTCCTTTAGGTCCTGCATCTCCAGGTACTCCTGCCGGTCCCGTTTTCCCACTTTCTCCTTTCTCACCAAATGGACCTGCCCTACCACGTTCACCTTTATAACCTCTTGGTCCTTGAATGCCTGTATCACCCTTCTGTCCATGTGGACCTGTGTCTCCTTTGGGTCCAACATCTCCCTTTGGACCTGGTGAATTAAAGGATAATGTATAGAAAGTCTATGTGATGAATAACCAAAATTATTCAGAAACAGTTATATAAAGTAGAAAACTACTTAAAAATAAATGACTGATTGTCCCTATTTACAAACTTGAGAAAACTAAGAAATTCTACGCAACATTAAGTCTTGACTTTATTTGGCATAATATAATATTCCAGAGACGTAAATCTCTTCTCATAGTCTAATTCAAACCAAGATACTTTTGGTTACTAAAAACATATTGAAAGTCTTAAGTTTAGCCACATTTTAGGATTTTTTAAACTTACACGTTTGTTGAGCACGAAAGTTTCAAAGTTCTGAAGGTTTTTCAGTAACACTGATTTATTATTAGCTCACTTCAGGAATGTAATAAATAAATATTAGTGTGCATTGTTTCAGTAAACTCACAACACCAATATGAATAACAAACGATGGAAAAAGGCTATGAGAAGAGATATTCTATAAACAGGTATGATAGAATACTTGACATTCTATTCCAGCATAATTTGACTTAGATTCCTGTGGTTTTCATGGAAATTTATATTTTAAGTGAAGTGAATGTTATACATCAGTCTAACATTTCAGTGGTCTTTTTATTCAGATTTTCCACCAAAAATTTCATGTTTTTCTTCTATTTAATTTATTTACTCACTCTCTTCTGAATGCAGTCGTAAATTTCACCCTAAAAGTGCTAAGAAAGCTCACTGCACAAATTCTATTCTTATATCAATGTTCATTGAAGTTATTTTCTGATTGTATGTTTTTCTCTCGTCACACAATCTTGAAGTAATTATGATTGTATTCTAGTCATATTTAGTTAGCTCTCAAATCAAATAAGCAATTTAAACAGTCTTAGCAGGTGAAATTTCATCAGAGTTCTCTTTGGAAAGTAAAACTAATCAAATCACAATATATGGTCTGCTTGATATAATGATAGGGCGACCTAGGCCTGTGCAAGAACTGTAGTGGAATAATGCTCTTGGTCACACCAGATAAAAGACTAAGTCGCATCATCCTGAAGAGAATAAAAGATGCACTGTATACAGAACTCCGCCCCACCAACCAGAACAAGCTGGATTCAGGGAAGGCAAATCATGTGATGATCGAATTGCAACCCTAAACATCGTCATCGAACAAAGCATAGAATGACAGTCAAACCTCTCTCTACCTCAACTTATCAACCTCGAAAAGGCTTTTGACAGACAGCGTTGACCGAGAAGTTATTCGGAAACTACTTCAACACTACAACGTACCTCAATTCCTTACCAACCTCATTCAACAGCTGGCTATATGAGAATGAGGCCATGTGTCAGGAGGTCCACAAGGGGAAACTCAGCGAAGTGTTCGAAGTGCATAGAGAAATAAGACAGGGCTCTTTATTATCACCGATGATATTCTTGGTTGTGGTGAACTGAATAATGCATCAGATTGTGCATTGGGAGTGAGGAGTACAAGAGTACACTGAACCATCAGTGAGAAGACCGTAGAAGATCTGGGTTCGGCATGTGGATGATTTATGTCTAGAGTCACATAAACTCGAAGACCTACAGGTGAAAATCAGCAAACTGGGTGAAGAGGCCAGCAGCGGAGACAGGACTGCAGGTGAACATAGAGAAGATGGGGGTGATGAAGATAACAAACTACCACCAACAACAACAACGAACGGTGCCAGTCACTCTCAACGGGCGAAGTTTGACAGAGGCTACTTCCTTCACTTATCTAGGAGGCGTCGTTTTAACTACAGGTGGAACCGACGAAGATGTCAAAGCAGGCCAGAATCGGAAAACCAAGATACCCCTTCATCAATATTCAATCAGTTTGGAAATCTTCTGCACTCAGTCTGCATAAAAACAAGACTCGGACTTTCAAAACCAATGTCAAGTCGGTCCTTCTATACGGGTCAAAAACTTGCTCTGCGTGTAACGAAAAGGATTTTCAACAGGTTGCAGACTTTGGTCAACAGCTGCCTTCGCTGGCCCCATACTGAAGATAAAATGGCCAGAAGGAATTAGCAACAAGAAACTTTAGGGACAAACCGATCAGGAGGCGACTGATCAAAAAATATGCACGAGAAAGTGGAGATGGATAGGGCATACCGTGAGGATACCATCGAATGACATCGTACTCCAGGTCCTCAAGTGGAACCCCAATGGGAAGCGACGAGTGAGTCGTCGGTGAGAGAGTGACATGGAGGAGATCGTGTGAGGAGGAGATGAGAGAGTTTGGTCAATCGTGGAACCAGATGAAGAGGATGGCAGAGAACACAACGAAGTGGAGATGTATTGTTGAAGCCCTATATTCCACTCGGAACTCAACGGAATAACAATAATAATAATAATTGATATCACAAATTGTAATCTAGAAAGCAGACATACTCGCATAAAACTATATACTACTGACTGATTGAGATGAGGAGGTGTGTACCAGTCACATCAACAACTGCAACGCTGGTTAGATAAGCTCGAACGAGCGAAATGCCACAGATTCGTATATACCTAATTGAAACTGTACCTCATATATGATTGACTGGATTCTGAACATAAAGCGTAATATATATATTAAAGGACGACAGGAATCAATCAATGGAAAAGACATTGGTTTAGCAATCCTTTATCTTAACCGGTCTATAATTCATTAGGCCATTGTCCTGTTTCTAGCTTTCTATATATTTAATGTGTTTCTGCAAATGTATTAGTACAATATAATTGTGTTTTCTTTTTATTATGAATAGAATGCGTACTGTTTTCACTCGACATCGTTAAGAGACAAATAAGAAAGTGTATCATGCATCATTCCTAAGCTATAACGATTATCATTAAATTATGAAGCTGGTGTTTCGAATGCAATCACCTTTTTTTAATAATATGAGTGGAAGGAAAGCCGGATATACTTACTAGCACTTAGTAGGTAGATCACTGATTCACTGAAGAATTGATACTGATGTTTACTCTAGCTTTGTATGCAAGAAAATTGTCGTTCGAAAACAAACTGCTGTTTTGTCTTCTTTTCATACAGTTATGGACTAGTAAGTCATAAGACAAAAATAAAACACCAAAACTTATTGCTGGTGAGCTGTTTCTCATGACTGATGTTGTGGCTATTAGAAGAAATGTCTAATTTTCGCAGATGTTCAATCTTAAGATAATCCAAGTGTTTCCAAAGGTAATATTAAACTCAGGAATAAAACATCTTGAAGACGATAAAGCAATCTACATATTGACGTCTACATTACATTTTTATTGAAGAAATAACGTTTATACTTCTTCTGGCTCCAGCAGTCTCCTGAGTATTGCCGCTTGTAATTTTAGTTTATTAATTATTTTTAGCCTTTAGTTTCCAGTAAAGTACACTGAAATACAAAGTCATCTAGTTTCATACTCTGTACACTTTACAAATATTTCATGTTTTATGATTGCAGAGAATCAGAATGAAGTACTGAAATTAGGCGTCGTGCTTATTGGCCTACCTTCAGCAAAATACACCAGCTATAGCTACAGTCAAGAACGGTACCACTGAGCTATTTGGGTTAAGTTTGATTTCATGTAAAACTTGAATGCGTAACCACTGTTATGCTGCCTAACATTTAGTGCTGAATAAAACCTATCATTCAAGTATGCCAGTTAATTTATCAGTCACTGCTAAGAAATATACGACATAACATTGCTTACTATGCGGTTATAAATTGTACAAACGCCCACTAACCTGGAAATCCTGGCAGACCGTCAGTGCCTGGAACTCCTGATGGACCAGGGCGTCCTCTCTGACCGGCAACCCCAGTTGGACCACGAGGACCAGCCATTCCCTCTGGTCCAGAAGCTCCTGCAGGTCCAATTGGACCTGATAATCCGGGTAGACCAGGCTCTCCAACTTCACCTTTGCGTCCTCGTGGACCTTGATTCCCTGGTTTACCTCTAGGGCCTTGTGGACCAGGCTGTCCTACAGGACCACGCATACCAGGCAAACCTGGATCTCCTTGGTCTCCTATATCTCCCGGAGGTCCACGTGGACCTTCTTCGCCAGGTAGGCCTTGATCACCCTTAGGACCAGGTGGTCCTAACTCTCCTTTATCGCCTTTAAGACCCATAAGTCCAGAATCTCCAGGGCGCCCATCTTCTCCCTGTAATATAATAAATACGGAAATATATGAGCCAAACTAAAAATCATCATTTGCATGAAATATTCTCTTGATTATCATCAGATGAGTGCTTCAGTGGTTCACGGGTCCAACCACGCATGCGCCTGGGTCCAATTCCTGAGGTTACACTCCTAAACCTAAGTTGGTAGTAAGCTCGGTAAAGAGGAAAGGTTTGGCGTGGGGTTGTAAATCCACTTCATAAAAGAATAAGTGCCACTACTAATGAAACATCAAAGCTCAAGCCTGAAGCCCTACAATCCACTCGGAATGCAAAGAAGCGACAAACAAAAGTCTTCAGATATAAATGAATAACAGAATAGATGTTTAGTAAAAACACTTTGCTTTAGAGTTAACCAGTTAGTTATGGAATGAATTGGTTCTTTGGGTATCAATTTGTTAAACAATTGAATGTATACATCCGCTGGACAGTATTTGGGGCAAGTGAGTTAAACTTATTAGCCTAGGGTATTACACTCTAATATTGAAAGTACCAGCTGTATATCTCAAAATTAGATTGCTTAGAATAAAAATTATTATTATATTCAGTCAACAACATCCAAGTTGAATACCTTTAGCACAGATATCATATTAAAGTGTGCACTAAGTGACACTTTGGTATAAGAAAGAGCCAAAAAAATACAGGAATGGGAAACTCAAATTACTTACTTTCGACCCAGAAGGACCTGGTTCACCACGACTACCATCCAATCCTGGTGGCCCCTATGATATCAATAATTTTTAAGACAGATAAAAACAAATACAGCTTTTAAAATAGCTTTTAATGTTAACGAAAAGTCTATTTAATAAAATACTAATGATATGAAAATATAAATGAATGTTTCAACTTATTCGTACGCCTCATAGTGTCGATGAAACAAACTCCAGTCTAACTTGTTGATAGAAACAATCTACCTTAATGTGAAAAAATTCTGTTTACTACATTTCGCCACGCAGAAACAAGGCTGTCTTATATTTTTTATCATTTATTATCATATTCGTCATAGTATTTAATAGGAGTGGTTGTATGATATCGTGAACACTGTCTCATCGGTGTAGGTGTGCTATCTGACCCAGATGGTTTAGTTGAGAAACCTTCATTGTCGTTCTCGACAGCATCTTCAGCTCAGATTTAAATATGAAGTGGGCTTTTAGAGTTCCTCACGAGTTTATTAATAATCTTTCCGGGTAACTTTGAACCATTCAGACCAGGCGACAAACCACATCAATATCATTTACTTGAGCTACGAATCTTCTCCATCACACTTTGTCTCGAAAAATCTATCTAAATTAAAATCATCACCAACGAATCCCTCAGTATTTTTCTCTGGTAAAGGTTTTAAATTTCTTATTCTTGTAGTCTGTTAAACTCAAAGCGAGGAGCTCCATCATATTTAGTTTAATACAGGCGATTTTTTCCACAGATGTACTGCTATCATAAAGCCTTTTATCCTGGCGGTGATGGTTCCTAATCAAGATCCATTTCGTTGACCATTCCCACTGAAACTTATGGAATGCGTCATTTAAAAACGTTTTCAAAAAAATAACTTACGCTAGGACCTTGACGTCCAGGTGGGCCTAATGGTCCACGAGGTCCTTGATATCCCGTGTCACCTGGATGTCCAACTTCACCTTTAGTACCAGGGTCTCCAGGCATTCCTTCAGGGCCGGTACTACCAGTCATCCCCCGAGGTCCACGTACACCTTTAAGGGATAACTGAAGAAAAGGAAAAATCAATTACAATATGCTCAATTAAGAAGAATCAGCCTGGTATGGTGTCCTTGTTGATAACTTACCAGATGTTTTTGTAGTAAATCTCTAAATGTGGTAGCACGTGCAAAGCTGCTGCTGCCAATACCAAGATTTAAAGGAATCACAAATAATGATCCCATAGGACCAGGTGGACCAGGTTCTCCAGCAGCAGCTGACGAACCATTCAAACCCTGTTTGAAAGAGAAAAGAAGACGATTTTTAGTACTATTTCGAGTGAATACGTGTAATTTCTCAGAAAATTACAGCAACTATGGTTATATCATAACATAAATTAAATATAACTGGTCATGAGTTTATTTCGTTACAGGGACTATTGAAATTCTATTAGGTTTTTTTTGCAATGAAATTGAAATGGATGTGGATCAGTACAAATGAACACGATGAAAAAAACGTTTGTCATTTGTTTCGTTTTGTGGTAGCTATTTGACTTCGCTAGAAATTTCTCTATCTGCATAAGAAAAGCTGTAATGTTACTGAATCTTTGAAGTCAAATCACACTCTCAAGTAAACCAAACAACAAGTCGTACGTGGAATATATAGAAGAGCGAATAATTAAGAGTGCCTCGTCGGAAACTGCACGAATACTTCAGTAAACAAACTACAGAATATTCATGTTCACCGAAGTGACTGAGGAAGAAAACCTCCAGGCAATATATATATATATATAGGAATCAAACTTGAGGCAATTTATTTGTGGCTAAGCAGCCATTATAATTAATCTCTTACTCACATTTACCAAATGTCTGTCTGTTAGCAACATTAAGATACAATTGATATTGTCTAGCACAAATCGAAAACGTAATCTGCTGGGCATAGACTTATTTTTCATTAGTTGCCTCGGTAAATTCGGGTAGCGTCAGAAGGCAAGAGTCAGGCAACAGATCGTTTGTTGAGAAAATCAGGAGATATTTATAGATTTTTATGTATATTATTATTCGTTATTGTTAGCAGCGAAACAACGTCTTCTGATTGGTCGTTTTCCTGCTCAAAGTTATTCTGTCATCTCTTTGTTGCTGTTTCTTAGACAGTCTGATGATACATCTGCGAATCATATCCACCTACACTAAGTCTGCTGTGATTGGTTATTGAGTTCCTCAAGGTTAAGCTTTGTTCTTGTTTTTTTTTCTCATGACCAATTTTAGCTTGCACACAGCTCTCACCACAGCGTTACTAAAGTACGAAGTTTACCTAAAAAATGTGACATATCTAGGCAAAACATTTGAGATAGCCTGACCTCTGACCTACTTGTTGATTAATTTGTTACGAAAATGAAGAAATAGAAGTTTAGGTAAGATATGCGTTTAAGAGGAAGTAGAATAACAATTAACACTACTCTTGGTTATCTCATGAGATAAGGATTATCCACGCAGGTTAAGTGTAACAAGAAATGTTTTCAACATAAAGGTGGCTTATTTGTACGAATACCTGTTGCCTTAGTATATTTCACTATAAAGCACTGAAGGTTATAGTATAAAACTCTGATTTGCAGCAGTGATGTGCCTTGCTAAGGACAGAAATGGTAGTCTGCCACCTGTGTATATCAAAGATTTGAAGTTAGATTTTTTTCTAGACACTTTGGTAAGTGTTTACCCACTCTAACGCAAACTGATGAAGTATTCCTGTCTGTGTGCTGTGTGACGTAATCATGTGTACACTGATAGGGATTGTATATATTTCACATATGAATTTTCTATTTTTGGTATATTTACCTACTTTTGTGAACACTAGTTAAAGTGTTATACTGAAACAATTAAATGACAACTAACCAGATGCGAATGCAGTAAAAATTGGAGATAATTTCGCAGTTGCTACATTCAGATACTTATCAACTGTCCCCCGTAACCATAAGAAACGGCAAACGATCAGATTTATTTTGTATTTGGACAGGCATAAACTCAGGTTGGTTCTAGTCGTTTCTCACTCTATGAGTCAGAGCTAATAATAGTTCTCACTTGTGAAGTTTCTTCTATGTCATTCAATAAGAATATGCCTATTCAGTGTATCTTTTTATAAAACAAACATAGTCATATTCTGTTGGGTAAGATTCACATGTATGATAGAGATAACAATGTGATTTAAATGAAATGGTTATCCTTAGCCGTTTTACTTTGGAGGTAAACCTGTATACCATTTGTAAGTAATAAATGCGTTACTGTTTCGACTGTAACCGTAAGAGTATCAAACGGCTATAAGTTGAAAAAAAATATCACAGGGATTTATTGAACTTGTGGATTTTATTCACGTGAAATATGCTGTGTTCGCTAGATCCAAACTTTGGACTTTCTAACCCCAACTTTCAAGAATTTCTTAGAAGACGGAAAGTGATGGTAAAATGTAAGTATGTTCATAATACAAGTTGGCTGACATTATTATTGTGGCGTGCCTAATACGGTAAAAAAAACTCATATTGAACATGATATTGCTTGAAACGTATTCATACTTGTCATTCGATTACCGTATAATAGTTGACTTGTCTGTTTAAGCTTAAATGCTAACCAAAATCTGACGATGGAGACAATGAAAGCCGAAATCACAAATTGCGTAATAGTGGAATACAGTATTGGGTCATTCAGTTTTGTATGCATGTTGCATACATAAGTGATCAGCATAGAGTTTAGAACTTCCCACCCACACTAGTTACAACTCAATCATTAAATGGTCTGTGTCACTCAGTGCCACAGGAAATCGCTGGTCTCTTGCATAAATTGTTGGCAAATTCCTTGATAACAGTTCGGTGTGTGTTACTGATAGTGTGGTGAGAGCTGGCTGCTAGTCAAATTGGTAGACAGCAATTTACGTCAATATTTACGTCCCAAATATTGGTCGTGAGAAAAATAAGAACAAAGACTGATTCAACAACCAACCACAGAAGACTTAGCATATGCATGAACTGACATTCAAGAAACAGCCACAGAGAGATGGAAGATTAACTTCGGTGAGAAACAACCAATCAGAAGACTGCGTTTTTCTGCTAACAATAATCTATAATAATTTACATGAAAATCTATAAATATGTGTTGATTTCCTTAATAAACGATCTGTTGCCTGTCCCTTATCTTCTGTTGTTACAACAGGATATATAAGTAGTGTACAGGTTCAGATATAGATGTGTATATCAGCTCCAAAAATAAGAAATAGCGGAGAGGCGGATGCAGTAAACTATGCTTGTGAAACAACGTGGAAGACACGGAAGGAAGATGAAAAAGTACAATGCGGAAGGCAAAGCAGCACAATACAGAAGATATGTGCAAATTGTGATTCTAATAGATGGTAAATGTATTTTACCTGCATCTGTGTATCGAGCGGTAAATAAATAATTCTTTTACCCCATCCTCTGTTCGTTATAACAGCAGTAATTTTCTTAGCTTGGAATCTCAGATAGAAAATAAACGTTTTCAATATTGCGTGCATACCTTACTGAGGAGTGTCAAGCAACATAAAATCCCGATGTAGGACTTCACGACAAGTAAGCTTTCAGGATGGATGTGCTCTGGAATAAATATTTGGCTTTAGCGCAGACGACTGGCCTTTTCACCTCACCAGTTAGTCACAATAGAGGACTTATACATTAAAGTTCTAAGTTATTGATTTAGCAAACTAACTACATAAATAGACTTGACTTCTCGTCACTTGCCTTTTTCCTGATAAAGAAACTGTTATCTCCTCAGTCTGTCTTTAGTTTCTTCTCATGACGCGTATAGTATTCAAGTGGTCTGTTATCTGACGTCGCGTGGATGAATACCTTTGGTCTTTTCAGTATGCCACCAGCCAGTTAAAAATAACCCGAATCAAGTATTATCCGGTCACTTAGTAAGTTCAGGTATCAAACACTACTACCTATGTAAGTGTGGCAATAATAATTGTGGTTCAGATTCAGACTGATATCATTCTATAGTAACTATTCCTGCTACAGTCTGATTATTAATGTTATACTTCGGTGAAATCGATATTCTTGAGACTGTCTATTTTCCCAGGACATGCTGGTTTTATTGAAGATCATTTTTTACTAGTGGATTCTTAATAGGTATGTGTTGAAAACATTTCATGATATAGCTAATCCTAAATAAAATTAGAGAAACAACTCTAGAAACCAGCTAATAGCAGCAAGTGCTTAAGATTAAAAATTACATCGCTTATTACCTAAAATTCTGTTGAACGAATTAGGTAAAATGTTTGCGACTTTGAGGATTATCCGTACCAATGAGCAGTATCTGCAGTCAGCCACATCTGACAGATTTGATTACCCCTTCTCCTGAGTGTTTACCGCCAAACTTAACAGGGTTCAACAGAGGCAGATTATACTTGAATTAAATAAGACTCTCTTTCAGTTAACTGTGATGAACATACAGAAGTATTCAGCAAACACAACTTCGAAAATATCACACAAATTACGTAGAAAGCGGTACTTAAACAAATGTAGCCGGGAAGTTAACCTATTTTCACATTTGATTTAGATTATAATAAGAGAAGAAAGCTGAACCATTTATCGATACTACTTCGAATGAGCAAGTTAAAACTATGTGCATTAAATCAAGACCGTTAGCTGAGGATATTTAAAACTTAACTTTAGCGATACGCATAACGAAAAGATATCACTATTCTATTATTTCTATTAAGGAAATTACTTACTGGTTCTCCTTTATCTCCTGGTGGACCACTATCCCCCATGGAACCAGTCGGTCCCTGAAATGTACAAATTTAATAAAAGTAAATAAGTTGACAAAGTAGTAAACCGATGGTATATTGTACCCAAAATTGAATTACATAGTAGTTCCTCCACTATGCATTGAATAAAATATGTAAATTAAGATTTACGCCAACAAATTAGAATAATTATAGTGTTGCATGTATATAAAATCCGAAATTTAGGATGACAGACAACTGAAATAAATCATTCATTCCGAGGAAATTTATGGTGTAGACATCTGTATTTCTTCGTAAAAGCGCACAGTTAATCACCAAACAATGTGCAACAGCCGGTGATATTTTCATCGATATATATTTATAGTCCACATATTCATGAGGATTTAATTAGGTATTGAACTGAGATGTAAATAATAAATAATAATTTTTCCTTCACGTTCCCAGTGGAACATAGGGCTCCAAGCTAGTGGCTTGAAGTTTCTGTAGCAGTGTTTAATTTTTACAGGATGGGGTTGCTAGCCTCATGCCCAACCTTTCCTCTTTACCAGGATTATCTCTGGCTCATAGAGGTAAAGGAGTGCGCCGGCCGGGGATCGAGCCCCGGACCATATGCATGGTCGGCGAGCGTGCTAACCGCTATACCACCGAACTGAGATGTGCTGAATATGAAATACTTAGGTCACTGTTTTGAGTACTGCTGCTTCAGCTTTAGATTTCATATCATTAAAATAAATTTGTCGTCTGACTAACAAATAACCCCTGTCTCCCCCAATGATGTGAAGATAATCGTTGGTCTAAAACATTTTTCGTAGAAGAAGCAACTTTTCTATGCCATCGTATTTTTGTGTGCCTAAAATTCTGTCCAAAGGTCAACATTATAGTTAGCTCAGTCCTACTTATTAACTGTCACCTTCTGAAAATTGAGGTTCTGATATGAATGGAGTTATCACGACATTATTGTTAAATTGTATGTATGCCAAAAATGCTATTTATTGGTTTAAAGCCTCCGATGACGACCTAGTTAAAAAGATAGTTTTGCTTCACTCAACTCATTGTTTTGATATCCAGTCTGTCAGACACACCTTTTGCTAAGTTAAAATTTAAGACGAGGGTGATTAGCTCTTTGGATCACTCATCCAATGGATGGTGTTTTGACCCTGGGAAAAGATGAGCTTCAGGTTCGATCATCATTACAATGCTTTGTTGAGCGAGGTCTTACTTTACGCCAATGAAACTTAGCTCTTCCGAGAATAGAATATATGGTGGCTCAGCGTTTTTGATTATTACCACGTCCGAAAAATATCATACATCTGGTGGAACATCATGGGGGTAATTTTGCGGTTACACTGTGCGTATTTGAACATGGTAAAATCCGTCTTTCAGTTGGCGGTATCATCTTCCTTTAGACTTTGTTCTCAGTGGCTCGGACATCTACCATAAGTGTCATTTAAGATGTTTCTTCATAATCCAGTTTCTGCTAGCCCCACGATTTGATGAAAAAGCTGAGGGGTGATCAGCTTATGACGTAGCACTTTGAAATTAAGGATGGTTGTGTTATATCGGCATTTATCAGTGCATTAAGACTCCCTGGATCCAATACAACAAATAATCTGAATCAGTGGCTCCAAACTTTATTAGATATGGCTGGAAGTTGCAATATGTGGTGAACAAGCCGAGGTTCCTACTCTTGGCTTTGTCCCAGAGGTAGCCTAAAGCAATGAATGCTCTTTTAAGTACTCGTGATAAGTTTGCCTGACTCTTTTCATGATCTTCTCACTCAAACATAATACTTTATCATGCATTGTGTTTTATTATTTTTGTGTGATGGATTTCTTGGCGCTCATACTGTTTGTTTTCAAATTAGAAAATAATAATGCAGGGTAAATTTAGATTAACAGTCAGAAACAGGGTGAAAATGAGTCAGGGATTCTATTACTAGACACAACTAAACAACTAACATTAAGCTAGCAGTCAATTCCGTATCATAATGTCTTCTCAGCAAGTGAATTTGATAAGATAAGTTCAATAAATTTTCCTACCCCTCCCCGCACCCAAAAATATCATCAACGAGAAATTATAGGTATAAACACAAGACAGAAAACTCAAAGACAATTTATTATGTCAGTGGTACATGCTCACTGTACCCAGTCGTCTATTGTCACTTTCTCCGGGTTCCACGACTACTGAAATCCAGCTGTCTTATCTGGTATACCAATTTACATTGAACAATTAAAGAGTACATCACAAAAGATTTACCAATATCAACTTACTTGCATTGGATCAGTTTCCTTATCCCCCTAAAAGAGAAATTTTAAGAAAATGTACAAAATGAAGGAAATAATACAGTTAATGTTATTGTGTTGTTTACTTCAAAAAACTTTTTCTTTTTTCCTTCATACAAAACTTGTGAATATGAGTAAATAATACATCATAACATCCGAATATTAGGTGAATACTTAAGATGAAAGTAATTAGTACAATTCCATTACAACTGCTGTCTAGATTGATGTCAAAACATGTGCCTACAAAGTCCGAGGTAGCAGTGTGTTAGAGCTAGAAGAAAACTTGAGTGAGATAGGGAGCTAGTGTTTCGTATTACACTACTATCACACACGTATTCTGAATGACAAGCTGCAAATGAGTTGAAATTTTCGAGTATTATTTGAACTCATATATTTATATTTATATATATGTTTCCATGGTAACCTAATGAGGAAGATTACTTAGTGATGACCCCTCTGTTTATTGAATCAGTATATTTCTCAGAAAGAAAGCAGTACACCGTATCTAAAGGGAAGTCTTCCACTTCATTGCCTACTGAAGCTGGTGTCCCTCAAGGCGCTGTCCTATCTCTTTTTCTTTTTTCTTTCTTCTTACATGACTTGCCTCACTCTGATGAAATAAACTTTGTGAAGTACGCTGATGATTTAACAGTTTCAATGGCTGTTAACTCCCAGCTAGATTGTACCAAAATAAATAACTTTCTATCAGGAGTCAGCAAATGGTCTGAGTCTAACGGTCTTAAACTGAATCCTTCTAAGTGTCAAACTGTTAATTTCAGCTTAAGATGTAAAAGACAGTTAAAAGAAGTCATCGATTCTCATGACAGTTGTAAAATTGACGACAGTGATATAGGAATCAAATCAGAAATTAAGTATCTTGGACTTATTCTCTCTTCTGATCTCTCCTGGTCTTCCCATGTCTTAGCAATCTCCAGTAAAATATTCCGCCTGACATTTTACATTAAGAAGTTAAGGCACTCGGGTATAACTCAACCCCTCCTCTTACAGTTCATAAACTCTTGCATCCTACCTATTCTTCTTTATTGTTCACCCTTATTCTTTCCTGGTTTGCTTAAAAAAGACTATGTCACAATTCGTAGAATACTGAAGACTGTCAGTAGGGTGAGTGGTGTCCCAGTGGACCACATAGTTAACGTCGTTGTCGATAGGCACTTGACTTCGTGCAATAAATTTGCTAAAGGGATTTTGTCTGACTTGGAGCATCCGCTTTACCCTCAGCTTTCACCTTGCATCTCCTCAGGTAGAACAAGAAGTAACTTCAGAAAACTGTATGCTCGCACGTCTAAGTATAGAAATTCTATGATACCATACTTGGCACGTATTTTATGTGATGAAAATAGTGTCAGGCAAGAACTAACTAACCTTTTTTCATCTAGTAAATAAACAATTTCCTCCATCCATCCTTATATACCTTCAAGTTTTACTTTTATTATTTCTATTATATTTATGGTCCTGTTACTTCTTTGTTTTACTCTCATAATTGCAAACACCAACTTATCTCCATGACGGCTGTAATCTTTGTTTTTCCCCTCACCATATCATGTAAAGAGAACATTATATTCAATATTTTTAAACATGTTAAGATTTCTATACCACATTGCCAATACTGTGTGAAACAAGCCCACAGTAATTTTCACTTGTTATTATTATTACCCTAGCTGTTATCATTATTATTATTATTTCCATTTTATATGCTGCATGTTTTTGACATTACCTCTATTGTAAATGTGGAAAATTTTCTGTGTGATTAATTTTATCTATAATTTGAGGAGATTAGATGCAATATTGTGATTAATGCTGAAAATTCCATTCTGTATCACAAGTACTGTTTTTGGAATAAAGTAAATCATTATTATTATTATTACTATTATTTAATGACATTTTATTTGTTTCTCCAGATGACGACAAATAATAATAGATAGGATCTCGACTTTTGATATGTAGTGTATCAAGAAAACTTAAAACATCCACAATTTCAATTTTTCACTTACAAAAAAAACCGTCAACAGACCAGATATCTTGTGTTAGATATTATGTTCCAATAATCTTGGAAGGATAAAAGAGTATCAATAAGTTCAGAAGTAAAGCGACAATAGCGATTTCCAGCAAAGATAAAATGTACATCGAAGTACTTTTAAGCCCAGTTCACTAAGCTTATAATGACCAAACTAGTTATCCTGAAATATTTCAAATTCTACTTTCACACAAGCCATTTAGGTACTCCAAGATATCCTTTTGAAGAAAATGACTGAAAACTGGAGTAAACTGTGAAATGAGCATATGTCAGGTTGTTTTCTTTACGGTTTTTTTAATCTTTTGCGCTCCTTGCCATACTTTATTCCTTGTAAACACATTCTTAGACTCTGTGACTGACTTAAAAATAAAACATTTAATTTAGAGAGCAGATAATTCGGTTATGTCACAGTCAGACTTAGAAACAGCTAAAATTAACATCATTGTTAGTTCATTGCGAGTTTTTTTTTGTTTTTTTATTTTGATTGATTAATTATACTAGACTGAAGTGTTCAGATCCTGGTGACATGTCAGCTCTTAATACGGATGCGTTAACGATTTCCGTGGATTAACCAGATATTATTCGGTAGGTAGTGACTAGCCGTGGAATCCAGGATGCACACTTCCTCCTACATGGGATTCGTCAGTTCGACGCACCAGTAGTCTTCAATCAGTAAGGTAGTTACCACTGAAACTCAAACCCGATACCCATCATGACTGATGCCACAGTGTTATTCACTAGGCCACATGGGTTGCGAGAACTCTAGCGTTTAAAAAACGATGGGTGCTGGGTTTCAGTTTGAGTGTCAGCACTACCACTCACTGAGGATTGCAGTTACATTGAGACGACAAGTCTCAAATAGAATGAGATGCGAATCGTGGATTTCACTGCTAATCACCACCCAGTGAACAACTTTGCCAGTTCCTGCTGATTTCTCTTTACGGTAAAAGTGTCCCTCAAATTCTTTTGGTCAACTTATCGGTAGTCTTTATTTTGATATTCACTTTAATCACCAGAGGAGAACATTGGACAGCTTGATAAACTTTAGTTGAGGTGTTGTTTACAACGAAAACTACTAATTCTTCCTAGTTAGTAAAGTTATAACATAAATTTGCGAATGTTAGATGACTTGGGTCATTGATTTAAAAAAACTCATTGAATAAATAGTCACACAGTTGGTTAGATGATTTGACGGCGTTCCAGTTCATACTCGGAAATGAAACACCTATTCAGTATTATTTCGGTTTCAATCCCTCTCTACATTATATTGATCTCTAATTTTAAAAAAAACTGCCTACCTTGTTCTTTCTCTATCTAGTCAAAAAACTGCCTGTTACAATCTTTGTTTCTTTTTCAAGAAATTAACTTCACATATTCAAGATATGCATTGATGTGTATGTGTGTGTGTGTTTCCCTGAAATTTGGACAAAATTCGAGAAAGATAATCCCTCCGTTCGAGTTTTTAGAAAGTGTTCATTGTCTAAGTGGAATCAGAACCAAGAAATGCACCACCATTAGATACACCCACACAATGCTATTTCCTAATATCTATATTGATTAAACTTGGCATATATGTATATACATGTATAATTCTATTCATAAAATTTATATTCAGTACACAGGAAGAACACTCGAAAGAGGAGAGGAAACCTTTATTTTTCTTGGCACTAGTCAATTTTAACAATAGCGCATTAGTCTACTTTATTTTCTTCCTGTTTTCAATACATATATATACCCATAAATCACTTTTTCTCTTTTTTCTATTTACATGTACCTAATTTTTGGAAATATATAACTCGATGTATTCATTTCTCCCTTCTTCTTCTACCTAATGAAGTCTGATGATGAAGTGAATCAGTGTCAGGTATAAAGTAGATACAAATGAAATCAAACATTAGTATAGTTTTAAAAAGCGTTTATTAAACAATGGAATGCAGCCGTATTGGAACAGTGATATTCATTTAGGTGTATGCCTTTTTAAATGTTGAAGTTTGCTTGTAACTATCATATTCATGAAACATTACTTTGGCTAGGAAATATCAATTTATCGGCGTGCTATGTTGACAAACCCATGGAATTCTGATTCATAGATTTTTAACTGATATATATATATATATATATATATATATATATATATATATATATATATATATATATATAGTTAGAATGTAGTCATCATTACTACTTCTGCTGGGATGTCATATTGCGAAAACTCTCCTGTCTTATACTTTTTAACCTATTCCATGTTTCTGGAGGCAGAATACAGCCGTAACCTAAATTTTAGTCATGAAAATAAGTAAAATGCTGAGCAGAGTACTGCGAAATGATTAAAACTGAGAAACAGACAGTTGACCCCACAGAGAAATGAAGGGCGATAAATTCGTCAAGATGGTGAGAACAAGAAAATTAGAGTTAATGACAGTTCCTAAAACAGTGATATATATGTGCGCCTGCAATATAGAAGAGAGTGATTAGAGAAGGTTTCCATTTTCACACGTCTGTAATCCACATTGTCTTGTCTGAGGTTGTCATTTTCAAGACACTGATTAGACCATATTTTATACTGAACAATGAATTGTTCTTGAAACCTCAACCAGTTGTTAAAAGTGTATCACTATGCGTTATATTAAATAAGTGTATTTAATCAGGAATAATGTGCTATCTGACATACTTTTTAAATTCAATTTAGATTTTCCCATCGACTGACTTGAGCGAAGTGCTTGGTCTAATGTTGACGTTTCGGTCGCTTGTGCAGATACTTCGACAATCGTTGGTCATGTAACCTGATGTCAGTTGGTGGATGGTGTCTAGCAGTGGAATCCAGGATAACACCAAGCACTTATGTCCAATTAGTCGACAGGAAAGTCTAAATTCAATTACATAATCAATGAGACTCGTTGCACAAGAGGTGGCTGTTATAACCCAAGTGGTTTAAGAGATAGAGCTTTGGTGTTTGAGACTATAGACACTGAGTTCGAGCCTCGTTGGGGACGCCATCACTCACTAAAAAGAGCAAGTACACCCAGTGACGAAATGCGAGTCGTGGATTTCATCACCCACCAATTATCTAACACACTGCCCAGATCCTGCTCTTACATTATCATATTCTCTGGATCCACCAATATTTCTTGAAATCATTCAAAGCCCTATAAACTCCTATGACTATTTACGAAAGTACTACAAAAACTACTCTCTGATTTTCAATTGTATGTCATTTATTTTAGTGACACAAGGCAGCATGTGGGTTTCAAGAGATATGGTGTGTGCATCTAGTAGACTGAAATGAACGAGTTGTATAATCTTGGCTGTTTGCAAAGACCATTACGTAACTAATGAATTATCGTCGTTAAAATTGTATGACACACACAAATGAAATGATTATCCACTGGGAGTTATGCGGTGACTCAAAGTTTAAATACATCTTCATCGAGTCTTCTAATCCAAGACTGTCCGAGACAATCTTATCACTAATCAATTCATTGCATCGCTCCCACGATAGTGTTATGCCACTCTAAGGGGAGATTTTAAAAACAGTGATACAGAAATTCTTCTATAGGTACTGTACAAATGTGTCAACATTTTGTTATCCCTAGGCTTATTTTTGTTTTTTTTATTAAGTTTTATGTGCTTTCTGCTTCTAGCACTACATTGGTGAGCCGTTTCCAAACTCTTACTGACATAACTGTGCAAATATTGTATCGTCAGCCTAACTGCGTAACTTATCCTATTACTAGTTATTCCTATTGCAACAAACTTAATGTAACTCTGAGTATGGGTTGACTGTTCACACAATCTTAACTCGCTAAAGACGACTTAAAATTTCCGAAGGTTTAACTTGTGTCTCTGTTTAATTTCATTGTAGAAATGATAACCAACATAAATAATCTGGAGAACCTTCAAAAGTAAAACATTTATAAGTGTTTGTCCCATTCTTTATCAGTTCAGGATCAATTCTAGAGGTTCCTGATCGGGCAAAAAAAGACGCTGCCATCCAAAGAATGAGTTAATGTCTGAAATTATGTGAACACTGATCTTTTTTCTAAGGAACAGATCACTAAAGAGTTTGGAATAAAAATCTAATTTATATTCATTGTCAAAATGAAGTATTCTGTAGAGTATTAGAGGAGCTGAAAATTCATTCATTGTTCAATTTGAATACCACTTATTCCATTTAGTAGAAGAATGAAGTGTACACACAAAAAATGTATAATTAGATAATATATTAATAAGACATACGTACACATATACTACTATGGTTTACGCAACAGTAGAAATAAACTAAAATGTTTATTTTAAAAGTAATCGCATCAGTTCGCCCTGAAAATGCTTCCCAGCTTGATGATCAGACACCATTCAACAAATCATCTGTCTGACAAAACAATACTCTTTTCCTTTCACTTTGAATAGATCGTTTCAGAAGGAAAGCTACTGATGCATATATGAAAGGCTTACAACAAACACTGACTATGGATTTTCGTATATTGTCATACATTGTGATATCAGTGACGGAATATTTGTCAGTATACATACTCATAACCATACTTCCCAATTTCCAATATTAGAGAAATAATTTACACTCAGTTATTACCAGTTGTATGACTGAATAAAATACATCTATTATACAGTTGGAATGTATTTTTCAGGTACCTTAGTAAAGAAAGATACAGACTATCTTTGATATAGCTTATTCACTTTCCATTATCTCGAGTAAATTCCAACCTTTAACTGACAATAATTAATACGGAAGTATATTTCCTTACTTAGTTTTTTTTTGTTTCAATTAAGAATAATAACAGGGTGAAATAACACAGAGGGAGGAAATAATCAAATTATTTTTTCAGACTGTGGATTAAAAGGTGTAAAAGAAAAGAGGGGAAAGTTACCAAAATGACTTTTCACTTATGCTTGTAATTCTGTTTCTTATTCATGGTATTACGAAAGGTGCATGTGTGTATCAACGCAAATATGGACAGAATGTATGTTTACTAGCGATAATTACCATCGATACAGAATAACAAAACGATCATTATTCAGTTGGAATTAAGTAAATAATTAAGCAGGTTAGGTTTTGTTTATTGTTCAAACCTGAGACTTCTGTTATATGAGGGAAATTTCTAAGAACTGTTTATTAATTTTGGAGTTTCCTATCACAACTGAGATCATATTGCCTTTGCAAGTGCTTTATGATTTCTCTAAACACGAATCGGTATCATTCAACTTTTGTTCTATTCGAATTCATAAAAAAGGGGACAATCGCATTTTCTCCAAATCACGGAAGTAAACTTTACAAAACATTAGAAGGAAAAGAAGCAGAAGAAGTCCAGTGAAGATATCGCTTCAGCGGTTTCATCTTCCAAGGCTGTACAAGCACGAATCTACAGATTTTTGGGATGAAATCATTAAGAATATATATTTCATGGACTTCTTGTTCTTTTCTCTTGAATAAGTAGGTAACGAAACTATGTATTAAAATGACTTACTTCATCACCCATCATTTGATCTTCAAAGCAATCCGGTGAATAAACATCACATTGTTTAGCAGCACCTTCTTCACCAGGTAAAATATAAAAATCTTCAATAAAACCCTGAAAAAAGCAGAATATAAATTAGTTATATTTAATATCGATCTATCATACTGTCTCATAACACTTTGTTTGAAAAATTTACTCATTGAAGTCTAAACAGCAGAATTTACCAACAATGTGTAACTATGACTTTTCTAGTGTTAATCTACTGGTAATTCGTTGGTTTTAAGTTTGATCATGCATTGATACCAACTAGACAGCCATTGAACCCTAGGGAGTACTTGGCAACCTTTTCGTACTAATTTGGGTCTCTTCAGAAGTATTCAGGCATGACCCCATTGGGGATTGAATTCAGGGCCTTCAGACCACCAGGCAAACTCGCTGACCATTCAACCATTGAAACGGAATCTAATTGCTCATTAATTTAGATGTCTATCAATTCGTGATTTTCAGCGCCTCAAAAAGTGAGGATCATCGGTGAGATTTTTCGTCACAAGCAACCTCGTGGACCTCACTCGTCACAACTGTTTGTATATTTGACTAATAACAAGAATTTCTTTCAGTCAACAACTAACTAGATATTGAGGTCTTAGTATTTAACAATGTAGATGTATCAATTATCTAAAAAAGGTTTTCTTAAGAAATCATAATCTGACTTAAACAGGATACAAAAAGGTCAACTGATCAGTTACGAAATCTTTGTTTATTTGAGCAAAATGTAAACTGAATAAAAAGTAATTTCATTTATCTAGAATTTATTGTACTACTTTGCGTTCATAGAAAGTGATGTCTCTTACTTCATTCACTTCTGAATGCTGAGTAAATTACCCTTTACTTCTCATGTTTTAACTTTCGAAATGTCAGCGAATACAAATAGGTCTCTGGAAGTGACGATCTGCTAACTTTTTTTCAACAATGCTGACTGGAAAATCAATGCTTTTTCATACTCAGCCCAGTAAACCTAGATTTCTTAGATGACACCTAGGTTCAACAAAGCATGTGAGTATGCTTCATGAAACTCATGTGTTCACTAAAATCCGACCCTATACTAGTCAAAACAGAATTCTAAAATGCTAACACTAAACACTGATCTCTATTAACTGACGAATTTCTGTCAGTATTCAGAATAATAACCACAATTCTCGCCCACTAACTAACTCATAGATAATACTCCCTACTGATCAATAAATGGAGAGGTTAAGGTGAGTATTCTTCAAACTGCTCTTGTAGATTACGTTTCTTGTTATAATTTCAAAATATTATTTTGAAGATTTTCTTAACAAATATTTCATCTTCTGCCCAAAGACTTGAACTTTCAGGAACAAAATCCTCATTCACAAAGTCAACATGACTGTAAAACGATGCACATTTATAGACTTGATTCATGTTTGAAAAAGGAAATATTTCCATACCTTAGTAAAAGAACATTTAATAACTGGAACTTACATGAATTCCATCTTTTAATATTTGTATTCTTCCTCTGTTGTCTATACTTGCTGATGAACGATTGTAATGTAGAGATTCACGTTGTTTACAATCGACTAATAGTCTTGCTGTAGTAGTACCAATGCTGACTGCTACACGATGCCATCTAAATACAGTTGAAAGTATAATGAGTAGAAAACAATAAGTGAAATGACGTGTTGTCTATTAGAATATATTTGCATATGTGTTGACATACCTACTTGAATACCTGTGTCGCGTAATAACAAGACGCCTCAAGAAAGAGATGCAGATTTGTGTCAGAGAGTGAGGTGACCACCAAAAGCCGCATGTAACCAGTTATGCGTTGTGCTGAACTTTTCAGTATTGCACATGCATGACCGAATTGGGGATAGACAACCTCCAGTTATTCGACCAATGTGGATCAGGTTCTCTAAACACTCTCAGTTGACAATTTGACCCAAGAAGTTCTTCACTTCTCTGAATCACTTAATGTATTCATATTCCATGTTTATTCCATTATTATTACTTTTAGTATTATTATTCAATTGATTACAGACTTAAGGGCTTTATCAATAGACAGAATAAAAGCTGTCTCAAAACAGATATTATTGAAAGCCTTCAAAAATAAACTCAGAAGTACCACAGTTAATCTGAGAAGTTTTGAAGGCAGGAACTTGAATGTAGTCATTTTTATTTCTATGAAAATAAGCCTGTGTAATAAGATGTGATAAGTGACAGAAATTTCATCTTTACAGATTATGATATTTTAATGAATCAGAAATGTAACTTCAAACGTAGTCGAATACGAGCTCAGTCTCTGTGAGCAACAGCGCATCAATGATTGACTGTTCCGATATACTTTGAAGAAAAATAGCCTGATCCTGTTAAAATTTGAAACAAAATTCTCACAGTTAGTAAGGAGCACGTTGATGCTGACACCAGCGAGTTTGATTTCTAATGAAGGACGGTGCTGAAACAACGACTGTTTAGGCTGAAGTCAAATTAATAATATCGAAGAATTCTATGAATTTGTGTTCTTAAGCAATGTCAGTAAATGATTAAACGGTCAACTAATAATTACCGCTTATACTGATTGAGACGTGAGTATTTATGTGACAGGTTGCTGACACACTGTCTCCTATTGTCTATGTTGTTTACCAACTTAGCCACATCACAAATCCCATAGCTTGATGGTTTAAGCCTTGATTCTGGAGTTTAGTTTTTGCACCCTGAATTATTCAAATCTCTTCTGATACAAAATTTTTTTTTAAATATGTAAGTATTCGGAGTACTTGGTCAGTTAATTTCACTACAAATCCTTTTAACCATTCAGAATCTGTATGTGTGTGTGTGCGCACCTTTAATCATCACTATGTTTATTTGTTTGTGTCAGGATTTCTCATTACAATTGAATATAAGCAGTCATAATAAGAGATGAGACCTTAGCTATTTCACATATTACAGCTAAGATAATAACACTGGTGGAGGCCGACTTAGCTCAGCTTTTGTGCTTTTCGACAGTCATCAGTAAGTTAAATTTGAAGTCATGTCATAAGGACTGTTTTGCAGCAATCATTGTTGAAAACAGGAGCATTACCTTTAATTAATTCATATTTCAGATACTCAAACGATGATGCCTAAAGACAGATCAGACACAGAACACTGGATGACTGACACTTAGATAAGATCAGAAATTATGTTTTTGTGAAGATCTGACACATTATTCAGTGGCATCAAGAAAAGCAGGCGGAGTGATGTCAAAACCTATAGATTTGTGGGTAGCTTTTTGAAGCCAAGACCAATAACCACACTTTGAATACCAAACCTTTGCATATTATGAAAGTATACATGCAAAATAATCATAAATTTTTGTGAACGAAAACTTTTCATTGAGAATAACAATCAATTAACATACAATCCATCATTGAGACGAGTTTTGAAAATAGCCTTCTCTAATGTTTTTCCTGAATGCGTCTTAAAATCTCGAGGATGAGTTGTAAGAAGTTGTTCAGATTGTAATTCTTTGGATAAATATTCTAATTGTATATGTGTACCAAATGTTAAGCGTAGAATCAGTCTGCCATGTCGATCAAAAAGAGTGAATAACTCATTCTCTAGATTAGATTCCAATCGTACAGTGAATAAAATTGAAAGATCTGGAGGAAATGCATCTGTAAATAAAGATAAAAATGTGTAGAAGTTTGGATTCATAACATATTAATATTCAGCTATATAGAAAAGCAGTTGAGTTCCTTCTGTTTTTGGGAGAAAATATGAGATTTTAACACATGAAGAGGTTCATCGAAAGTAGAAAGACGAGTCGACAAATGAACCAATCAGATGCCTTACCATTTTAGGAAAAACGGAATAGTTTTAAAATTTACAATGTGATGAAAACAGAACAGATGATTCCATTTCGGACATAACTGATAAGAGTTATTAGAATTATTCTTTCATTGGTGAACACTTGGAAGAAGGATGACTGTGGTGAGAGCAGGCTGCTAGCCGATTGGTTGGCACTAATCTACGTTAAGGTCTAGGTCACTAATATGGGCCGTGAACAAGGCTGAGTCAACAACAATCACAGCAAAGTTAACGTGGCAAAATATGATTCGCAGAGAGAACTCTATTTGTCAAGGAATCCGAAGCCTGCGTTTGTCTACCTAAACAACCAATCAGATGACTGCGCTTGTCTATATAATGTAGTTGAAAGATGTATAAATACGTGTTGATTTTCATATAAAACGATCTGTTGCCTGGCCCTTGTCTTCTGTTGTTACATGACTATCACCCTCAACAGCCAGTTCTACGTGTTCATAACACTTCGCCTGATTCTTTCAAGTGAGATTATATAGATTGTAATGTCGAGACCACCATTCTTTATCACCGTTCCGTAAAAATCAATGTAGACTGGTGAGAAATGCTGTCCTACCACACAAATCCAAAAGCTTTATTTGATTGCGTCGTAAAACTGTTCCTAAGTTATTCAAATGTGCTGGGGTGGTTGTTTTTAAATCTTAGTACATCTTTATCATTGTATACCTAAATAGCATAGAAGCATGGTGGATGAACTCAGTTTACATGACTTCAATTGACAGCATAGTAAGAAGAACTATAAGTGTTTTTCTAGAAAAAAGTTTCATTCTAACCGTACGAACTTCCGTATGTTTTAGTCTTTAAACAGAAAATGCTCTGTTCATTTTTAGTTTGTCGATGACCAAAAAGGTGATATGTTACAGTGTGTTTTTTATTGCCTTAGTAGTCATTTTCAAATAACTGATAAACAGTCTACAAGGCGGCAGTATAATTAGGCCACATACTGTTTAATAAACATTTGTATATAAATCTATAGTCTTGTAGGAACTCCTGATGTTTCGCTATTGTGACTTAGTCCACTTATCATGGGTTTCAACAGGGAGCTTTAAAATGCAACGTTCAACACCACAAAAAATCCATTGTGGCAAGGAATACAAAGAAAATGAACTCACCAAGAACTAAAGTTCGACCTTCTACATAAAGACTTAATCCACGTGGAACAGAATAAGCCACTTGTCTTTCATCAGCATTTGATGATGTCTCCAGATCATTTAAACTCTGACGACATCGCCCAGGTGAAGTCTGTACATATGCCTGTTCACCAAGTCTTACAGCCCTTAGTATATCCAATGTACCTGAAATTGTAAAGCCATATAAAAATTATTCAACAACTAAGTAAAACATTCAACGAAATTTCTAAAAGCTGGGCAGATTTATATCCTATTCTAAGATTTATCCGTAAAATACATATTTTAGAAATTTCAAGGGTTTCATTCCACTGTTTAACATACTTAGTCTGTGGTATTTACGCTACGGTATCTCATAAAGTAAGCATTTGTATTATTTATTTTCCTATGACTGCATAATACTTAGGTATTATTAAACCCTCAAAGAATTATCTAATGGTTATTTACATAGAGGATTTTCTTGAACAGTACTGTTTTTAGAAGTCAGACAGTAAAGGATGAAGAAAGACGATTAAAAATATAATTTGGACTAACTATAGTGCTTAGCGTTTTATTATATTGCTGTTCCACCTTCTTCAATGATCACCTGACCAGAAATGCTTGTTTTTCTATCTAAAATTTACTGACTTCACGACATATCATGAGGGACTTTTACTGCTACACCAAACAAGCTAAAGTTTTCACCTCGTCTTTAAACATGCATCATTTAGCTTGTCTTATTCAAGCAGTCGGGGTCATGAGTTACCATCAAAATACCCTCTAATTGTGATAATTTAGTGAGTTGTCATTGAAACAAAAAAGACGTGCGATGTCATTCGTGTTGGCTGACAAATTGTGGTCTGTCTCTATTTAAAATATCCAGGTCAAGTTTCTGAATATAGAAGAAGATTTGTCAGCTATCAAAAGTGACATATGATGTAAGCGCTGGTCATCAGCCTTTCTGTATTCTGATTTCAGTTTACTGATGTACGCTATAATAAGGTTTCCCGTGAATATCCATCAGTCAGTACAATGGATAAATCGAGTAGTATCAGTTTATTTTAAGCTTATCAACAAAATAACCAGTTTATTACATTAAAGCAATTAAATAATTCCAACAGTTGTCAACAGTTTTCACTGCACTACCTAGTGAAACTGTGTGTTTCTTCTGTTCATTTTATTTATATTTAAGCAGCACTAATCACTAATAAATAACCTTTTTGCAGAATTCCCTATTTTAGGAGAGTGCACTGATTGCTAGTACCTCTACTGAAAGTTTTTATAGAGTATTGGGAACCCGATATTGATTAAGTCTGCAGATAGAACAGTGTTCCTCATAGTACAATAATTGTACAATAAGTGAAATATTCGAAATCAAGTATTCCTTAATACCTTGAAGTTTCTGTAGCGATTAGTTTGATTTTCCGAGATAGCTCCACACCCAACTTCCCTCTTTTTCCTACCTCAGGACCAGCGGGTAAACTAGTGAATTAGTAAATCAGATGTGGTCGAGTCAACGCTACTATATGGTTCAGAGATTTAGAGTGTCACAAAAATGTTTCCAACAGAATTCAAACTTTTACCAACGGCTGTTTTCGTTCCATACCGAAGATCAGATGACCAGCAAGGTTTGGTTACAAGGGATCCTGGTAAAGAACAAACCAAGAACCTGCTGACCAGCAAATATGAATTAGAAAACGGAGATAGAGACATTTGAGCGACATCGCGAACCAAGCCCGCTAGCAAAACCCGTATTAGAAACGATTAGTTAGTATCTGAGTGACATATGGACGAGACCATACAAGGCGGAGATGAAAGATTATGAACATCTTGAGGCCATTTAAAAGCGACTGCAGAGAAGAGAATGAAATGGAGAGGTACAGTTGAAGCTCTATGTTTTATTTGGAACCCAAAAGATTCATAATAATCTCTCATGTAATTCTAATTACAAGTCGCTTTCATCATCCAGTGGTGAAGAAGTCTGAGACACTGATGATGAATAATTTAAAACTTAGATCAGATAAGAAATGCTTTCAAAGTGCCCTGAGAAAGTTCAAATTCTTATGGATTATCAGTTAAACACTGCCAAATTCGTAATAATCACTGCACCTTAAGAAAATGTGGTGTTATTTTACTTCATTTCTTCTTTCCCGTATTAGTGTTAAGATTCATTAAATTAAAATTTGTAAATAGACTAAATGAGATTCCAGTCTCAGTGGGAACACCATCATTCACTGGGTATGCAGATACTCTTAGCTACCATTTCCCAAACAGGATTAAATGTGCATCCTGCATTCTACTACTAGTCACCATCAACCAAAATAAACAAAATTCATTTTAAACATTATTCGAAAACATCCAATACTGTGTAGTTCATTGTCATCTACAGTCAGTTGGTTTAAAGGAGACTCTCTAAGATACATGACGAAATTTGATGTTATATTTATTCCTGTTATCATAGACACAAATCTTTTAGACTGTTTCCAAGTAACGGTTGGTTCCAGCATGTGTACAAATCACCGTGGTAAAAGATTCTTGACCGCAGTGATATAATGTTATAAAAATAGTAGTGGTGTTAACAAATAATTAAGCCTTAACTGAGTACAGAACCTGGAGAAGAACTTAACAAGAGACAGTTCTGTGTTCACCTATCAGTGTTTTGTTATGGAGGATAAATCCTGCACTATTTGCAAAAAATAAATAAGACTTTACAACCGTTTGGAATTTCACACACATAAATACACATTTTATTTAGCCCTATTGTGAGGTATACCTTCTTTACTATCTCTATTTGGCCTAAACACAGCATAATACAAGTGCTACTCTTCCTATTGACCTACAGATATTCACTTTTTCTTTGCTGTTCCAAACATCTGACAGATTTTGTGACGGTTTGTGTGGATTTACCTGATTTAAAAGAATGGTGAGATCGGAATAAAAATTTCCAGAGTTTTAGTTGGTAATCCAGAAGTGATTCGTGTGCTTGTATGGACAGTGCCTGTCAGATAATTTGCGTACTGTTAGGAATGATGCTGTTTGTCGGGTTTACATTTTTCACTGTGATCCTATAATACAGCCGGAATTTACTGTCGATGGTTTTTTTTAAATTTTGATTACAGCTTGACGCCATACCGTATTTTCGGTACAGGTATGGAATTTTCAGCATGTGATATCGGTAGCCCAAATTTAGCAGGCCGACCATAGGTATCGGGTGTGCGTCGGCAAGGGATCGAACCCCGGACCATGTGCATGGTCGGCGAGAGCCCTAACCACTGTGCCACTGACGCAGTGTAGAGAGTTGTGCATATCTTTCGCTTAATTCTTCTACTCATGGCTTCACCTGAGTATCTTTTTTCCGTAAAATATAGTTTATGTGGAATGATATTTAAAAAGATACAAGAATTCTAGTGCGATTGTATCTTATTTTTACTTCACAGTAATCTTCAGAAAACGTGGGGTTCCCAGGTTCCTTTCAAAGATAACTTGAATTTTCACAAATTAGATTAATGTTTAACTGTGTTTTGATTTTAATCATTATTTAACTCATACACGCAAGCAACACGTATTTCCATTTATCTCTGCGTAGAATTGAAAAAGTTGTTCAACCCAAGTGTGAGTGGAAACACCATCACTGTTTTATATGTATATTCAGTCGACAAGCTCTAGGTAAGGTGAACTGCGCATTCTGCATGAATTAATTTTTGGTAAATTGAGCTCAGAGTAAAACCCACTGCTTCAGGTGAGAAGCTGTGAATTCTCAGTAGCCGTATTTTGTTCAGGCGACGTTTAGGAGTTTTTCGGTTAACTAGTATTCAACCAATGAACTACCGACACACAAACAAGTGTGACCGCCACGACACGAACCATATTGACTACTTTGAAGGCGGCCATGATGACCATGCATGCATTCTAGCGCTAGTAAAGCCTATCTATTTATCAGATTGATTTTCATTCATATTTACGAAGTTTGTTTAGTGCATTTTTACAGAAACAAATATTAGGTGACATTTACACTATAGTGATCTTTAGTATTCGTAAAAGAAAGAAAGTCAAATTCCAATCAAAAATGACAGTATACTCTTTGTATGTAGGCGATAGAGAAGAACAAACTTTTACTACAGGACGTACATAATGTCAAAATTTGGTTCTTTTTTTATCCCAGAAAAGAAAATGATGTTCTAACGCATAAGAGGATTCATAAGCATTTAAGTGACACACAATAAAAATGTAATACAACAAATGCAAAAGATTTCCCAAAGGACACATCTATGTACGACACGTAAAATAAAAACAAGATTGCCAGAAATATTCTTAAAACTTAACATTTAAACTGTATGCTTTTAACAAGACACTTACAAATGTCTTGAACGATTTGACTCTATAATGTGATTCATTCTGAGTAAACCACTAGAAAGCTTTTTTCGATCGGAAAAACCAGACAATACGTGTAAAGATCATTCGAATCTAGCTAACGAGTGTCGCTCCTGATCAAAGCGAATTCCTGCTCACACGCTTCATGCCGTTCTTTATGTTAATCAGGTTACAGCAGATTAACTTAAAATTTTGATTGACAAATGAACCTATGATGAAACCCTAGTCATAACCGATACTTGAATCGGTTATTCCTACAGTGAATTGTGTACTTAGTACATCAGTCCAACTGTGTAGTTCTTTGTATAAGATTGCTGAAAAGAGAATCCACTGAACTATTTGCTTCTCTCTTTTTAAAGTTCCAAGAGTACCCTTCACATACTGAAATAACCGTGAAGTTTTACTTCTCCTTACTATTTCAGATTGATACTAACCATCATTAGAAGCCTCGACTGAAAATCGTGTATAAAAACGAAAAATTAGGAATCACTCTTTTCAAGTTATGACCATACAAACTTGATTGTAGTTGAATTAGAAATTTCAATGTGACTGGTGCTTAGATTTCAGGGTTCGTATGTAGATGGCCTTTAAGCATCCCAGTAACACGCAAAAGTCACGCGGTTTATCATAGATTTTAATAACTTTAACTGTATCTAAATAATCAGTCTATAATTAAGTGTTTGCAGTAGCCTAATTTTGCATATCCATGTTAGCAATACAATCTTTGATTGTGTCTCTTTTTGACGGAGAGTTCAACGCATTTATGTGGATAGTGACAAATGGAATACAATAAGATATATTCAACAGTTAAACCAAAA